TCGGGTGATTGTATCTAGTTGTCTTCACACGAAGTAAGGAGCTGAATCTGCATTGGCTGCATCAATAACATAATCTGAGCAGGTGTTCAAGCTCTTCGTAGCTACCGGGTCTGGACTGCGTTTTGAGCAAACAATTGGAGGGTAGTTTTCATATTGAACGCGAGATTTTTGCATCCTATTGGGCAGAATTCCATGACATCTAGACAGGTAAAATTTTAATCCTATATGTACTGCCCACATTTATATTGTTATGTACTCCTTTGGAAGCCCGATTTAATCCTTATCACATTCTATTGACCTCTACGTTCTCACCGTGTCTGAGAAAAATAATGCAGTTGGACTAATTTTATCTAGAAGGTTGTTTGTGGAGAACAGGAGGAGTTAACTCTTTGAAACTCTTTATGTCGAGACCCTCCGGTACATGTGCACCTTATTTACTTTTAAATGGAGCCCAAATTGAAAAGGGTTAGTCAAAACAATCTTCATTATCTTTCCATGATTTTTGTAAGCCGGCATTATATCAACTGCTTTAGCGAAGTTGAAAAAATAACAGTGTCTGGTATATTTTCTCTCAGCAGGTTGCAGAACTGGGTAACCATTTTTGGTACGCCCATAACAATAACGACGAATAAAGGAGCGCGATTGGAATCCGAACTATTTAGTAACTTGGCTGAAATTCTAGGCTCCAATAGGATACGCTGCACTGCATATCATCCTCAAGCTAATGGGATGGTAGAACGTTTTCACCGTCAGCTAAAAACCGCCCTTATATCTCACTCAAACCCCAATCAGTGGATGGAATTCCTACCGTTAGTTATGTTGGGAATACGAACGTCTATCAAAACTGAAGCACAGTGTTCAGCTGCGGAACTGGTTTTCAGAACAACTCTGAGACTACCAGGTGAATTTATCAACCCTAATACTAACTGTCAAAAAATTAATTTAGAAGACTACGTGGATCAACTGCGGGACTACATGTCCAAACTTAAGCCAATTAATACTGGTGAACAGTCGCGCGCCATATATGTACCTAAAGACCTAAGCAATCGCATGCACGTCTGGATAGGATGTGTCAAAATAAAAGCACCACTTAGCCCTCCATTTGAAGGTCTTTTCAAAGTCGTCTCAAGAAAATCTAAATATTTCGTGATAGAAAAACATCGAAACATCGACTCCGTAAGTATTGATGGTTTAAAACCGGCTTATCTAGATCATGAACCACCATACGTGTTGTTAAACCGTTTAACTGACAAAACAATTACAGAATCGACATGTGAAGATGGTTAATCTTTACAAGTGAATAAAGCAGTTAGCTGGGCACACCCGATTAGTCAGTCAAGGATACTGACAGCTTCGGCTGAAGAATAAAATCTAACCACAGACCTTTTATTTTTGATATATAAGTGTTATGGTATTTTTTAAAATACTGGGTACATAAGCGAGGTATTCCTTAACCATGGCTGAGTGATATTAATCAAACTCAACCTTGGCAATAACAGCGAGTTCCAAAAGCAAGCAGAATACTAACCCGTTCTGGAGGCCAATCACTTACGTGGAACCGAACACCTACCAATTATATTTGTGTATTTCCATTTTGTATCTTATTATTTCTTGCAGGCAGTGAAGCAGTTCTTTAGGTTTGATTGGTTTCTGTCATTACCTTTGAAGTAGATGCTTCTTTACTTTTTACTTGAGGGCGACTCAAGCTCAGGTGAGTAAACACCTGATAGCCCGTCTGAGCATAGGAAAATTGTGCCTCACCAACATGGTGTTGGGTAGCCCGCTCGTGGCACTTCCCCAGATATTCTTGTTCCACATTCTCACACTCTCTTGAGAGCACGTAGCAAACCGTCAGCGATAGTTGTAGAAGAAATCACATGCTACAAAATAAGATGACAAGCTAGCAAATGAAGAGACGTCCATGGACTATCGTCGATTGCTGATGGAGTTAGTCGTCATCGATTGGAAGTCAAACAGTGAGCGAGTTGATAATTTTCCCTTGGGCTGAGAAAACAGAACTAAGGTGTTTTTGATAGATAGGTAAATCAAACCGACGTTCCTACGGCAGTCGATTCTAGGGGGAAGCTAATGTAGCAGCTTAGGTTGGTTGGCTGAAAGTTGACCTCAAACAACCAAGCATATGCCGAAACAGTATAGTTCAAGTACTCATTCACTTCCTTATTTTGTATAGGCGTTATATTTCCTATTATCTTATATTGAATGTTGAGAGGCTTTGTTTGTCTGATCAAATAATCCAACGCTCCACCGTGACTGCGCGAAGATCTAAATAAAGACCTATTAACTACTTGTCTGGTTTCTTCTGTCAATAGCACGAGGGTTACGTAGAGGCACGAAAACTCCTCCGATAGCCAGTAGCTTGAATGATGCATGCCCCTCCATTAACACAAAGATCAGATTGGCTCATATGATGAATGACGTGAATATGTGGTATAACTGTGGTAGATCCCAGTAAAGTAATTTGTCAAAGATATAACAACACACACAGTTACTAATGATATACCAAGTGGGATTAGCACTATAAACCGGAACGTCTGTTTGTGAGTAAAGCAAAATGTTAGCAGATAGAACTTACGACAAAATGATCACAACTGTTATGAAATGGATGTTACTTTTGAGTGCCTTCTGAAATAACAACCACAAATGATTTCCCTTCATTAACGAAAGTTCCTCTGTATGCAGTGTGACAAACGGAGTTATGAGGAGGATAAAATTCGGCCGTTTTACTTATTAATAACGCGGGCCGAAACTCTGACATAGTATGGGATGGCCTAAAAGAACGTTATGATACTATTATAACCTTTGATCAAGGCTGCGGCTAATAAAGTAGCAGAACAGCAACAGAGATTGCATTTATTTGAACGACAGCGGTGGCACGTGTATTAGTACAAACATACCATTACGTCCGTTTTTGCAATCGATACTTACTTACCGACGCCTGTTACCCCTCGTGGAGAAGCACAGGCCGCTCATCAACATTCTTCATTCAACTCTGTCCTGGGCAATCCGTTCAAGTTCTTTCCAGTTGCTTTTCATCTCATTCATGTCTGCCTACAACTCTCGATGCATTGTGTTTTCTGGCCTTCTTCTTTCCCGCTTCCTTCCAAGATTCCAAGTTAGCTCTTGCTTCGCGATTCAGTTTGATGATTTAAGAAATATATGTCCTATCCACTCCCAGCGTCCTTTCCTATATTCCTCTTCAGCTAGAGGCTGGATTGTTCTCTTCCATAATAGGATTTTTGCTGACAATTTTTGGTCAACGGATAGTGAGTGCCTTACGTGGACAGTTGCTTATAAATACTTGTACTCTTTTGACGAGGGCTGTGGCAGTTCTCCAAGTTCCAGCTCTATACAGTAGAACTGTCTCGACGTTCGTGTTCATTACTCTGACATTGATGTTGGTTAACAAATGTTTTGAGTTTTATATGTCATTCGGTTGTGGGAATGCCATCCTTGCTTTGCCAATCCTTGCATTTACGTATGCATATGATCCTCCTTGTTCATCGATGATGCTTTTCAGATGTGTGAAAGTTTACACCTCTTCCACAGTTTCTATATCAAGTGTAATTGTGTTGATTTTCTCTGTGTATGTTGAGGGCTACTGATGCAGAGAATGCCGCTACGCTAGTTATCTTCATCTACATTTGTTCGTGTGTATATGATAGGAGAGTCAGGTTATCTGCAGCGTCCAAATAGCCTAGTTGACTCCAAGCTGTCCACTGTATTTCGTGCTTTCCGACAAATGCTACATGTGCGACTTTGCACTGTAATTCGTCGTATGAGTTCTGTATAATGTCGATGACTTTCTTAGATACACCATAAGGTTCTCCTACCCACTTTGTTAATCAATACAGAGAAACAATAGATATTGAATTTACTAGGATTATATATCAATTGTCGCAAATAAAGAAAAAATGTGATCTTTATCTTGTCATTGCAAAAGTCATTGAGTATACATGCCACTATATAACTCCCCATAGGGTATACGTTGGTGAAATATTGCCCGGCGTAAATTCTATGTGTTATGGTGGAAAAAGAACTGCACAACACACAACGAAGAGAGGAATTAATAAATAAATAAAGGGCATCAAAAATATATACCTACGGATAAAAAGTAGTTTGTGTGGTGAAAACCTCGTGGTCCTTATTTGTCATAAAATTTGTTGAATTTACATGTCATTATATAATGGAATCGGATACAGTTTTGTGAGATCCCAGCACATATATTTTCCAGTGAGCAATATTCGAGTGTGATCGTTTTTCTGTTGATATTCACATAGTGAAGCAAATATATCAATACCAAAATAATGAGAGTATAAAGACTATGTATAACACACAAATGAAAGTATATAGAATGGAAAAATACAGGTCGTCACTCAGATTGTTACTTGAGGGCGCGTTCGAGTATGGTCTCGTAATCCACAACTACGAGTAGCCAATAACTGAGGATATAATCGATTTAATGCTAGATAATGTGTATCTGGAATGATCACCTAACGGGGATACCTGTATGACCATTCGACGTAGATAGCAAATATATTAGTGGTCTGTTATCGTAGCAGCTGGTAAGTGAGAACGGGGAGTGTGTGCGTGTAGTAGTGCATTGTGACTAAAAACCAGTGTATCATGAGAACAGAAAACAAAATGGTGACAGAAGATTAAGGTCAAATCGTAAACAACAGTTTTACGGTCAATAGCAGTAATTGTACAAATCGTGTGAAACTGTAAAAATGTGAGTGACAATGGAAAATACTAACAAAATAAGTTTATGTTACCTATCTACACGTGCGATACTGAGATATAATCACAGGAGACTCATGATGATAGCTTTAGATGAAGTTAATAATAATATACACTCCTATATGCAACATTATGCCACTATGTGAGCCGAAGGATTCTTGAAAGTAGTGGATGTATCGCTCACAGCTGTCTACTAGTAGACAGTGAGGGAGGATAGAGGACTCCACACTATAACAACAATCAGTGTAACGCATTTAAAATTGTAAGCTACTAGCCTCTGGTTTCGTTTGTCAAGTCGTGTTATTCGCACACTTGTGTTATTGTTAGTTGTTGTGGATTGCTATATTTACTTAATTTAAGTGAATTGTAAGTGCTTTCGGAGTCATGGGTACATTTTCGTCTTGTTTTTCCTTCAGATTTCACAAAAGTGCTATTCACATATCCCCTAGCACACAGCTTACCTTCAGGATAGTCGCAAACCTACCTAAAACTAAGAGTTAAACAGAATTCTTTGTTCTGCATTTTATCTTGTTAAATCATGGCTGACGATGCTGCCAGAAAGCTGCAGTTCGAGTACAAAATCAACTCCAACCTTGTACTCTCAACAGATCGGTCACTCATCGACAGACGTCCAAGGGATGAATCCACCGGAGAGGTATTAAGTTTAGCTGGGAAAATTCGTGCTCAAGAAATGGGACACAAATCTCAAAGAACAAAACCACCTATGTTGCATGAGAAACGAGCGAAGTAAGTTATTTAATCCCATCTTATAGCTTAAGACGTCAAAAACGTGACGAGTCCCAACAGGACGCTTTGAAATTGAAAGGAGCTAGCCTACTAAACGATGATTTCAACGATATAGCTGGAATCATGTACCACCCTAAGACACCAGACACTCGGAAAACCTATGAATACATTCTTCACTGTATTCAAGAGGCTTTAGGTGACCAGTCACGTGAAATCCTATGCGGAGCAGCCGATGAAGTTATAGCCACTTCTAAGAATGTTCATTTAAAAGACAAAGAGAAAAGGAAGGAAACGGAGTCCTTGTTAGGTAAAATATATTTCTAACCGTATATTGAGTATACATAGGTCCTCTCGTTGATGAGAGATATAACATTATTGTCAACCTTTGCAAGAAAATCACAGACTGGAAAGAAGAAGAACCTGCGTCTACCGCGGTCTCTAACTCCAATGACAGTATTGATCAAACGTATGGCGTAAATGTTCAGTTTGAAGAATCAGACCAAGAGGTATGTTAGTTCATGTGTTTTTTCTAGCTAGGTCGTTGAAATAAACAGTAATTTCATTTTTTAATTTAAACAATTGATCATTATTAATCACGCTACACTATCCACAGAAATATGGTCAAGTTCGTGTTTTATTTTCAGTCAGTGCTCTACCGATGCCAGAAAGGCCACGAAAAGTTAGTCACGTTTTCACAAGGAGTATATTGCATTGGCTCCAAACTGGCTAAACGAAATCAAACGATCGTGCTAAAATCCTGTTCGAGCGTTTCAGGATAAGCACACATAGACGGAATGAGGTTCTAATATTTTAGCTCGTAACGTCTGTTCGAACATCGGAAGCTTCAACATGTACTTTGAGGTGAGGTTTTAAGAGACATGGGGTAGCATCTTCCTGACTCTAATCATACGGGAATAAAAACAATATTCCCAAACTTTTCTATATGGAGCTCTGATTTCGTGGTTAAGGCACTCGATCTTTAGTCAACAAATTGTTGGTTCCTCTTAATGCGGTTTGAGTAGTTAATTAATATTATTAGTATTCTCTAGCTCAAATCCTACTACATAAACATGTACTTAGTAAGCATCAACTGGTCCGAATAGTTATAAAGTGAACTTTTGGAAAATTCCTTTTAAAGACTTCAGTAACCAAACAGTATATTTAAAGAATCTAAGCAGTGTAGTTTGTTGATAGTCTTAAACAGTGCGGTTCAAATGTTTCGCTTGGGAAATATAATTTAAAATACTAGGACACACTTTTGCTTACACTTTGTCTGACAAAAAATTAATTAAGGAGACTCATGCACTTGATTTTCAACAATGCTTAGTATAGGGTCTAGTATTACTGTTTAGCTACTTAAACTGAAGCCGGTGCAGCAATGTTTAGATCTGTGATCCAGAATCCATCATTCACCGCGGTGAAAAAACCGCGCTTGCAACCACTCCCTTTGTAGTATGAAACAGTTGTCCCGTTTGATTATTAGATGAATAAACCCTTACATTCACGTTGAAAGATTGGTTTACAGTCTTCAAGCGGTGGTAATTGTTCAGCTTTCGGCCACTAAGTCCCAAGTTCGAGACCCTCTCCGTCTACTTCAGTGTGGACAATTGGTTGGTACCATTAGTCTCATACCCAAGTTCCTAGTTTGCGAGTAGATTTAGAACTCATAACCCGGGCAAAATATGCAAGTATAGATCAATGGATGGGTGTGCTGTATATCAATAGTTTCTAAACTATGGTTACTTAAGGTATGCGGCGTAAAAAGATCCTGAATTCATGAGTCAGTAACTTCAAACTTCTTGTCTTACATGTTACTGACATTTCTTTAAAAAAAACTCTGAACAACTCAGGCATCAAGACATCAAATAGTGATGAGAAACACTACTTCGGACCATAAACTGTATTTCCGATATATCTGTTTTTTGTGTAGGATGAGGAAGATGCATTTGGGGAGGTCAAAGAAGAGGATGATGAAGATGAACCAGATGGGGAGGAGGCCGTTGTAGAGATGACTTTACAGTCTCGTAAAAATGAGTCAGTTATTACCGCTCACCAAAATGCTGAAAATTTACATCCTCGGGATATTGATGCATTTTGGTTGCAACGTAACCTTGCCAAGCATTGTAAAGTTGGTTTTGCTTTATAATTCTATATTTAACCGTTTTTGATTTATTTAATACGCAAACGTTTATGTGTTTGTATCTCCATTTACATAAGTTAGTTCTTTTCTTAGAGGCATTCGTTTCTAACTACTTATCAAGTCAGACACTTTTCCTTTGAATTTTCACCATTATCTACTCGTACCTAGGTCAGTACACAGGCATAAATACCTCAGGATTTAGTACGAATGATTGTAGATCCAAATTTTCACATTTTAAACCAATGTTAGCATAAGGGTTATCTCACTTGAGTTTTAACCATTGAATTACAATTTTGAGCTACTGAATAGTATTGTTAACCATGACTCAGTACTACTCAAATCAGGATACACAAACCTTCATTTTATGTTGTGACTACATTGTAATTAAGTAAGCTTAGCGATAGTAATTCCAGAAAGCGGAAAAAATGTCAACTTTAAGCATCTTTAAAATCTCAACTCAAATCACGTACTTAGTATAACGTCTATTCTGACCGACTCACTGTTACCTGAAATTTTCATTCGTTTACTACCATCTCAATAACTCCAACCATAAAGTTTACGACAATTAGCGCGACTTAAACACATTACATGTGTTTTAATTATAACCGTTTCCATTCCTAATTATTACGTAATCACTGTTACCTTTAGTTAGAATACTGGATAGTATTGCTAGTGTTCACTTGGTTTATGGAAACAAGTCGTGTAGTACAAGCAGCTTATCACCTTACCTATCAAGCTGTTGATACGGGTTCTGACAGTCGATTTTGTTTCAATGCACAGTTCTGAAACATTCATTAAAGTTAGGCTGCACAAGACCACAGATACCTCATCAAAAGTGTTTTCAAAACACTTCATTCCTCCTATTTTAGAGTTTCATGAAACAATTTCAGGGTGATTCTATCGCTATATGCTAACAGTTCATGGAAAGCAAAAAAACCGCTAACCTTGGTGCAAACTGACGTCTGCTCAATCCATTTACTTGTGTGTATCTCATTACTCTAGTCTTATCTTTCGACTGTTCCCTTGCAGTTGCTTATCATTGTTTTATAGTTGATTTTTCTCACTGTTATGGCTTACCTGTTTTGTTAGTTACTTTCATGCACATTAATTGATGGAATCGGGTGTTAAAGATCAATAAATTATTCTAAGCGGATTTATTTAATTATTTGTTGAAGTTATCTCTCCTTGCTGCTTTTAATCTCATTGTAGGATCCGATACTTGCTCAGGCGAAAGCTCGCGAATGTCTGGAAATTCTCCAGTCAGCTTCTGATGATAGGGATCTAGAAAACCGTTTAGTTCGTGCTCTCGGTTATGAGCAGTTCGACTTTGTCAAAATTTTACGCAAACATAGACTTATGGTTTTGCACTGTATTTTATTGGCACAAGCACAAACAGTTCAGGAACGTAGTCAAATGGAGGCAAAAATGCGTAGCGATCCTACATTAGCCAAAGTATTGCATGAATTAAGAGAAACAGAAAATTCTGCAGATTTAGTCGCTGAAGAACGTCAAAGAAAAAATGTTCAGCGTGTCGTCCGTGTTCAGGTGAGAATAACTGGTTCTATATACATTAGACTGTTTGTAGATTGTACATAAAATTTGCTGAGATTAAAGTTTTCTATGAATTCAACTAAAGTTACCATGCATGTTCTGAATACTAGTCGGTGAACTAGACAACTAATTTTTGAATTTCTCTGTTTGTTAGAATTAGGCTTTTTATGACATTATACATGTGATACTAATGAAATAAATATTAGTATCCAAACCTTTCAAAGCATATTTCACTTATTAATTTATTGTTACTCTACTGATTCAGGCTGATATGGAGCATGAAAATATGAACGATGAAGGTTTTCACTTGTCTGAAGACGGTGCTATCGGTGTTGCAAATATCGTTGACTTAGAGGGTCTAGCTTTTTCGCAAGGAGGACATTTAATGGCAAACAAGAGATGTCAGTTACCCGATGGTTCATTTCGAAAGCAGAAAAAGGGTTACGAAGAAGTACATGTACCACCTTTACGCCAAAAACCATTAGAACCAGGCGAAACTCTAATAAAAATTGAAAAACTACCTGCGTATGCACAAGCTGCCTTTGAAGGTTGCAAAACTCTCAACTTAATTCAAAGTCGATTATACCATGCTGCTATGGAAACGGATGAAAATTTGCTGCTATGTGCCCCTACTGTATGTTTTTTACTAGTTGATGAACTTAATTTAAATATTTATTTATATAAATTGGTACTTAAAGCTGTAGGCTTTTTCACACTTGAAAATGCAGTAGGTTATGTACACAGAAAATATCAGCCTAGAGTGCCTAAAAGGTTTTAGTCAGTTATTTAGACGGATAATTTTAATTACAAGTTATTGTTTAAGTCCCACCTCATTTGTGCAGTCATATATTGTCATTATCTCTCACAACACAAATGTGACTCAACAAAATGCATAAATTTATGTTTGGTTAGCAAGTTCCACTGATGTTCTAATCACTTGATGATATGCTTTTCTCCACTATGTGCTTTATTTTGCAGCTAGACTAAAATCCAGTTGTCATAAATTTGCCTTCTCGTTATGTTCATGATGCGTCTTTTTCTTACTGTTTTTAAAGCGAATAATAGTTTTTGCGCATCATTTCCAGGGACATCTAAAATACGAAACAGGTCACATGTTAGTTTATGTTTCACAGCAATTTATTGTATAAAGGTTATCAATATTGCATGGTCACTAAATAGACTAATAACCCTGAATCAACACTTCGATTTATGATTCATTCATATTCAATTCACTAAGCTGTAACTTTCCAATGTCCTATTACATGTTATCAGTCGAAGTAATTCACTGTCCAGTTAAATTTTCAGACTATCAAACCAACTAACTGAGATAACAAAATACTACAGTTTTAGAATGATTGTGTGCACAATGGTTTTTGGTAAATAACTACTATTCGTAACTAAGTATGTTTCCACCTTTCTTGGTGGTTATGACCGATATGTTCGTGCACTAAACTACCATTTAGCAACTCCAACTTCAACACGGTGGACATGACTACTGTTATTCTCTTCTTTCCTTCTCTAAATAAAGTCGAAAGTTTTGTTGATCAAGACCCAGTAAAATTCAAAGTACATTTAAGGTAATCAGTTATATTACAATTATATATATATATATATATATAATATATATATATATATATATATATATATATGATCATAATCATAAAGATGGGTAGTGGCTAACAGTGGTATCCAGAACGCGCATTTCGTTCTGTTCGGGACGTGTCAGCTAAATGTATCCGGATAGCTGACAGCTTGTCCTATTGATCTTGAATTTCGTTGGTAATTGTTGACCTTTAGTTGTCGTCTGCATGTTAATTTTAATTGTTTCTTCCTTCGGCCTGGTCCTGAATTTCATATTTGTCCATGAACTTCCTGATTAATTGGTAAATTAAGTCGATTTTTATGTGTTTTTTGATTGCTGACTGATTTAAGTGCCAAGCTTCTAAAAATTCTCCTATGTTAGTTTTCCTTTTATACAGCACTTTAACACTCCCAGTCAAACATGTGTCCACAATTGCTCACGTGCAATAATAGAAGGGAAAACACCATAACGTATGACAACTAGTTGGTGTTTACTCAGACAAAAATGAAAAAGACTCCTACTTTGTCCGACGTGCTTCTCGCAGTTGTAACAGTTTATTTTGTAGATGATGTTTGGTTCTTCTTTTGCTGTTTAATCCTTTAGTTTGGATATGATTGATTGAAGTTATTACCTCTGCTACCCTAGGATTTACCCTGATAATGTCATCTCTCTATGGTAATGTCGCATGGCGACTTGAACCGTTCTACACATATCTCAGGTTCTACGTTACGTTTAACTGACTGATTGATTGGAGTGATTTTACTGGTTTATGTGCTACACTTAGACCAAACAGCCTCAATAATCTTGTAATTCCTAATGTGCCCTTTATAATATGATAAGATATTCCGTTTGTTAGTTTTCACGTTTAATTTCGTTTTTACCTATGAGTTGGCTTGATATTTTCTGATGCAGCTGCGTAAATAGCTGTTCTCCTGTAAGAAATAGTTATCAAATATCCATTATTTGGATCGCTGTGCATTCATGCCATATTCTATGTCTTTTCATCATTTTAACCAAACAGCAGTTCCTCCGAAGTTAGCATATCGCCTAGGTAGGTTGAAACAAACTAGAGCTTCGAACACTATGACTAATCAGTGTTTTTTTTCCGTAATTTCTATAACCAGCGAAGGTAACCGCGAATTGATGCGATTAGTGCTCACATTTTTGTACATCTAAAATAATCATGCATGTTATTTTCGTGGTTCCTAATTAGTTTCCGTGGATTAAATTCACTTTGATATGATGAGCGCAAACAGTTCTGAGACGATTTAAAAGATTTCATATTAGGTAGATGCTTTTAGTGGTGTCATGTTCTCTGAGCTAGATTGTTTAACTGAAAAGCTTCAATAGTCGTTTTAGACAAAATCATAAACCGTGGTAGTCCTATAATCTCCACAAGTCCTATATTAATGAGTCTTAGATTTCCAGGGAATTTCTAAAAGTATGGCATCAGTATGCGAATTAGCTGGCAATTGATAGACGTAAAAATAGATCCAATCTATCAATCCATACAGAAGAGGTCAACCAATCATATGATCAGAGATCAATCGAAAAAGTCAATCAACAAGAGTGTAAGAATGAATTAAGACAACAAAATCTACAAAGACAAAGTATCACAAACAAGGCCATCAGAATAAACTAATTTAACATTTGCAGAATAACTGAAAAGGTCACTTTTCCATGAAGTAGGTACTGATGATATTGTCCAGAACAGCAAATAAAAGCCTCGCAAGTAAACCAACTACCTCGTAGAATACCACCACAGACAGCTTTGTATCTTAACGAATAAAAATAATCAAGCATATAATTGTTACATTTGGTTTTTTCAGGGTGCCGGTAAAACAAATGTAGCTTTATTGTGTATTATGCATGAACTTGGCAAATTTATTAATCCTGATGGTACCATAAATAAAGATGAATTCAAACTTATTTACATTGCACCTATGCGATCTTTGGTACAAGAAGTTGTTGGTAATTTTAATAAGGTTAGTTCTGTCAATTTTTGGATGTTGTAAATTCATCTTTTGTTAAAATAGATTCAATATTAAAGGTTGGTAATTAGGTATTCAATTTTTCTTGGTTTTTTTTTAAAAAATACATTGAATAACTGAATGCACATACATAAAATTGTATTCAACATGACTTAAAACTCCAAGGTTACCAACCTTTTAATTTAAAGTAACGTACAAAAATTCAGGCTTTACTCATTGTGGTTATTTATTTATATTTTGTTTATTTGAACACATGAATATTGGTGCAAAGGGGCACGGAATACATATGCACCATACAAGTCACTTGATTTATGTGTGGGCTGTGATACTGTCCGGGTGCCCAAACCGAAGCAGGGTTATATGTCAACTACATATTTATTTCCGTTCTTAAACTTAAGGATTTAGTCCCTCACATCTTCATAATCCGACTCATTCTATTAAAGGCAGCTATCGAACTTGGTTTTATCGTCCTATTTTAAATTGAATCCAGTCCAGTTGATTAAAAATTTACAAAGTTTATTCTTTCTGATCTGTTGTTAACTAACGGGAATAATTCCAAACTATGGTTAGGATACCTGATTACTATGATTACATTTCCCCCCTAGCCCAGTGTATACCAAAAGACAAATCTCACAAGGGAAATCTATTTTGTAGAGAACAACAAGGTTTGACTTAAGTGAGGAACACATGCATGTTATATCCGTATACCCACAATCACCTTGGAAATCGAGCACAAGTACGAATTAATAAAAGGGCTAGTGACCTGTAAGAAGATGTTTTTTGTGCAAAAACGTGGAAATTAAAGCTTGAAAAATAAAGTAATCTGTCAGTGGTTTACTATGGATTTAACATCCTCACCACTTTCCTGTATCAGAAATGAGTTTTGTCTTTATTTTGATAATTACTGTTTACATTTCTGTTATCTTGTTTTATTTCAAGTTGTTAAGCAGTTATGGTATTAAGGTTGATGAACTTACTGGTGATCACCAACTTAGTCGTGAACAAATTTATGAAACACAAGTTATTGTATGCACACCAGAAAAATGGGATGTAATCACACGTCGTGGTGGGGATGAGCGAGCTTACATACAGTTGGTTAGATTAATCATTTTTGACGAAATTCATCTACTACACGATGATCGTGGTCCAATACTGGAAGCTATTGTTGCACGAACTTTACGTGCTGTAGAGAACACATCCGGTCTAGCCGTTTCTAATGATATTGGCGGTGGAGGTGGTGTTCGTCTTGTCGGTTTGAGTGCTACGCTACCAAATTATGAAGATGTAGCGACGTTTCTACGAGTTGATTGTTCGAAAGGATTATTTCATTTTGATAACAGGTTAGTAACATGTTTTTAGGACGTTTTACTAGAGTTTGAGTGCGTTTACACTTTCCTTTTTTGGTTGGATCACTGACCAAAAATAGACCCATCATTTTGATTATTTTCCCGACTAGATCATAGTAACTGAACAAACCAAGTATTTGACTCCCTAAACGACTCTCTGTCATCTACCCTAAACATGTATATTGAATTTATTTACCCTGTCGTACGTATGTTGTTGATGAGTAACCTGCACGAATTTGTATAAGACATCTACTGATCATACTGTTCATTACAATAACACTCTTTGAAGGTCGTATTCACTATATACTAGAAAATCGATAAATACTTCAGTGTGTTAAGTAAATTCATTCCGCGATAATATTCTTTGGATATACTTATCTTTATCCTTTTAAACCCAGCAATTTAGGTTTACTAGTGTTTAGGCACATTTATTTCTAGTATTATATTTTGTTCAAGTTTGTTTTGTTTTGTCCTCAGATATTTAAAACGTAACATTTTCCAGTAATGACAGTTTTCATTTCGAACTTTAAAACTAACTGAAAAATATTCAAATCTAAAGTCATTGGACAGTCGTTTGCTTTTACTTGAAACATACCATGTGCTTACACGCTGGAACGTTACTATATAGTCTTTGGGTTCTATCCTTCAGTTATAAGCAACCTTACAAATTTTTGTATCGATTCAGGAGGTAACACCATATACCCCCAAACTGTCGAGGATGGGGAGAGTCAGCTCTCCCTCTCGAAATTTTCTCACATGGACACGTGATGATTGGGAAGTCCTACTCACTGCATTCTCGTGGCATGGGTATTGTTTACGAAATCGAGAGGACGAAAAGTGAATGTCCGACGTTTTAACCAGGTTGGTGGACACGAAGAGTCCATCCAGGGGAGTTGGAAAACCCTGATTCCAAACCAGTGGTGCACATGGGCTCCAGGATCCTGAGAGGACAATTGGCGCATGAACCTATTGTTGATCACCGACTGCCATGGGACTGCATCTCCTTACGTTGCTCCACTTCCTTGTAGATCAGACCTTTAGGTCAAAGGCTCAGGGTGTAGGGTCCTCTAGGAAAGTATGAATTCGTGAAATAAAAAGACACAAGATAATTTCAAAACTTAAGATCCAAGAGGAGACAAAGAGTGAGTAGGTCTGTGGCATCGCAAATCATTCTCAGCTATGTTGCTCAATGCCTTCCGCCATTGGTTAGAATAATCACGCGAACCCAAACCAGGTAATCCGCACCTACCAGCATGGCTTAGTCCAACTATCAATGACTTCAGGGACTGATGCCATGTCTTTTTTAGTCATCTCTAGTTCTTTTTTCAGCCCACTACTACCTCATGTCACTCTGACAGATTTCGGGTAATATTGCTCAAAATTGTTCTCAGTGCCCCCTGCATATTCACTCTTTGTCTTCCCTGAGAACCTGAAAGCCGAGATCTTATATCCTTCTTACCTCTATAGCCAGTTTTTTTACTACTACTAGCACTTACTAATTTACTACTCTGGAATTTGTCTTGTTCGGCTGTGCTAATGTGTTGTAACATCTTGAATCAATGCACATGACTGACTAAATGGCTCCTACACTAGTCAACATCGTGCTTCGAGGTAGGCGGTTTTTGGGCATATGTAATACATGTCCCGACCTCAATAGATAAAAATTCACTACCTCACCAACCTGTTCTCTTTCTTTACCTAGTAGATTACTTCTAACAGCATCGTTCACTCAGTGGTCCAAACATACACAAGCAATGTTTTGGACAATATAACTACATCGACTTCGGAAACTTATCTGGTTTTGCCGGGTTCGCTCTTCTGAGCTTTACTTATTGGTTGGGTGACTGTGGAGCTTAGTATTTGGAACACTATTCAAACTGATTCCCCTGTAGTTATCACAAGAAGATTACTGTCCTTTCTTGTTAATTAGGGCGATTATCACTGGAGTGCCATCAGAATTTAGACATGTATTCTGAAATGATAGGTAATCTATCGAGCCTTCTTAATGATTGCTGTTGATGGAGATATAGTCTATCTGTGTCCATCATTGAGTCAATTTTGGCGGGCTTTATTTCAGACGACATCTTTCCTTATGCATAAGGTTGTTGTTTGCTAGAAACAGTTACCTAAGAATATTTGCAACAGACGGTCACTGTTGTTTGTTCCTTAAACTTAGACGCTATAAGATCCATCTAATTGTACTTTGCATTAGTTTAGGCTAATTACTTGAGCATTAAAATTACGTGCTACTATTACTTCACCTGAGGGTCTAGTTTTTGAAGGAGGCCAGAAATCTTTGTACAGAACTTCTCTTTTTCATTCGAACTCCAGTTAGTGTGAGTTTAGACAGAGGTGACGAAGTGATAGCGACATGTGTCCTCGTCTTTCCTCTCTTTACTGGCGCGTTCAGTTGGACAACGCACAAACGACTGGATTAATAATGGTCTTAGTGACCTAGGAGAGTGACCACACAGAGCCCAAGAGACAACTACTTAAGGTCAGTAACACACAGTTTTTTGTCTCCGTTCTTTAAAGGTCTTACTGTAGGAGACAAAAATCCATTGGGTTTAAGTGAAATGTGAAATCTCATAGATTAACATTTTGTAATGCTTCTCTTGCGATGTAAAAAATGTAACATTGTTGTAGATACCAGTTATTTGAAGGGAGTATCTCAGTGCCAACACAACCCTATGACTTCTCACTCGGGTCCTTAGTTGCTACTTTTAGTTTTATCGTTCTCCAACCAATCTGCTTGGCATGGTGGGACCTGTAAGAATAATTGCTAAAGCTAATAATAGTCATTGCGTTAGATTTAGTGAACTTGCACTCCCGTTAGATCGTATTATTTCTTATGTTCCATTTATTGTTGTTGAAAAAGAATTAATCTTCACTTTATACTTCAATTGCTAAATTTTAATGTCTTAATTCATATTAACTTTCATAATATTCTCGTTTTTATCATCCATAATTGATAGACTCATTTATTTGTTCTTGATCTTTATGTTTTCGATATAGTTATCGTCCTGTACCATTAGAGCAACAATATATTGGAATTACTGAGAAAAAAGCTGTAAAACGTTATCAAATAATGAATGATATTGTTTATGATAAAGTAATGGAACATGCTGGACGTAATCAAATTTTAATATTTGTTCATAGTCGTAAAGAAACTGGAAAAACAGCACGTACATTAAGAGATTCATGTTTAGAAAAAGATACTTTAGGTATATTTATGAAAGAGAAAAATGCATCGGCTGTTGTTCTACGTCAAGAAGCCGAACAAGTAAGATTATTATTATTATTTGACCAATTAAAATGTTATAGTACATCATCATTTATTCTTAATTACTGTCAATTTACTAAAACTATTGTATTAATATCAGAAGGGTTTTGTGGATATGCACATTATAGTAATTTCAATGGTTGAGATCAGGAGTCAATTGAAGCTAGACTACCATGGAAAACCTGGATGCATTGGACGGCCACTTCGTCCTATTGTGGGACTCCTCAGCAGGGCAAAACTACATTTGAATTGTTTTGTTTTACAGATTTTTATGATCGACATTATTTTAATTTTCATATCTAACTAATGAGCAAGTGAATAAACTATGCGAGATCCATACTCTTATTTAGGTTCGAGCAACTATATAGTACTGTAGTGAACGAAGATTCGATGGGGACAACCAATTTACTACAGAGTTCTTTGGTACGATATGAAAACCATACATTAAATACTTCAGTTGAAAATCTTCCATCAATTGTCCTTTATATCCTTCATGATTATTCCATTTCTCAATTCCTTTATGTTTCCATTTCTGTTTTCTTCAATGCAATCTTCTTAACCTTCCTTGGATACCCATTCCATTTCCGATATGTGTTACATGCTACTTATGTCTGTCGACATAAGTAGCATGCGTCACATTACCATTTACCTTAACATGGTGGTCTAGCTTCAATTGACTCATGATTTCAATCAGTGAAATTTCTAAAATCTCAACAAAACCCCTTCTGATAATAAAAATATTAACTCATAATCGAGTATATAGATCTAAATATGATTACTGAATTTCATCCATCATCAATGTTGGTTGGAATTTAAGTTGGGAAGAAAACTTATTATCATCAGAACATCAGTTTTACTGAAGTAGTTGACCAGCTAAGGTGTCTTTGATTAAAGTTTTCTAAATGTTACTGATTAGAAAGCAACGGAGATTTTTATAAACCGAATATAAGATTTTTTAGGCACATTGAAATGTTTGTTTTAATTGTTACTTTATGTAGTAATCTTATCTCATTTATGATTGACGACGATATTATCATTTTATTCAAAGTTAAATTCTACATTTAGTCTTATTGTTTCTCATATATAATTGGTTATCATGGTTAGTTCTTTTTCTGGATTGTGTTATTTGAGTAAGTCTGTAGTGCTAGTAGACTTCAACATTTATCTAGAAAATATTTTTGTAGGATTTTGATAACAGCGTTTTACTAGGAAGGAATCCATTCAATGAAAACATGGGTAATGCGATATTTATGCAAGTATTTAAACTATCCACCTACTTTCCCGAATTCTGTATAAGTGAATAATTTATCCCTACTTTTTTTTTCTACTAAGGTCAAAAATCCTGAACTTAAAGATTTACTTCCTTACGGATTTGGTATACATCATGCTGGTATGAGCCGTGTTGATCGTACTTTAGTTGAAGATTTATTCGCTGATCGACATATTCAAGTTTTAGTCTCTACTGCTACATTAGCTTGGGGTGTTAATCTACCAGCTCATACGGTGTTGATTAAAGGAACTCAGGTATTATAACATTTAATCCTTTTTTTTTAATTATTCTTATATGGTTATGATTTATGCCATTCGATGTCTGCGTTAATTGTATGTCTTAAGTATCTAAACGATACAAATGACTCTAGTTCAGTAGTGATAGCACAACAAACAAAAAAATAGCTTTTAAACCCAAAATATATCAATTGTGTAAGTCGAATGCTTTAATAAGTAAGCCCAGATTTTGTACAAATTGGATAATCAATATTGTATTTTACAGCTAAATTAGTTTTCTGTCCTCATTTCATTAAAATGATCAACTACAAGTCACTGTTACTTGATAAAAAAAATAACTTCGGTTTTGAATGAATCAGCAAACATTGAAATTTCACGAGTAATCCATTAGTATTCACTGTTATGAGTGTTCAAAACAATGGATCATGTAATAACCTACGTAGGTGTAATTTCTGGTTGATTTACTACAAATAAACAACTAAATGATGAGTACTCTTTAAAGATTGATTGGTATTTTATGCAATAGCCCTAAACATGTACTTTATACATATATTGCCGGTGAATAACATAATGTTTCTGAATATCATAGTTTTCGGACAATTATCACGAAACACCGTTGTATTTGGGCTATATATAGTTACATATTAGAATACATTTGTTGACCCTGACTTCATTTGATAATGTCTTCTAGATGAATTATCAGGGTTGGTCTGTTTGGTGGATGATGCATTATCAGATAGAACAATTTTATGCAAGCGCGTTACATAGATTTATTGTGAATTTATTAGTTGACAAATCGGACTTAAATCCTTAACCTAATTTAGTCATTCCTAGTATACTAACTTAGTAAGATTACAGATTGAGAAAAGTGATGAACAACTTTATATACACTCACGGTTCTTGTTTGAATGCTGGTCACGCGACTCACCTATCCAGACTTGAGTAAGTCGTCTAAAAGTCGAGTCCGTTACCGGTTAGTTGTAAGTTAATTATTTTAGCACCATTAAACTATCGTTCCCAATTAGATGTGAGTAAATATCGAATGAATTCTTTATGACAAACTAACTTTGTAAAGAGAATAAATGACTTTGGATTTATCATCATCAGACTGCTTTAAATAATTTTGAAGAAGTTTATTACCGGATTTAAAAGGAATGCCTCAATGAAATAGACGATGATGTTATCATCTACAATAACAATATAAACTCCTTAATTAGACCATCTAGCTTAGGGAACACAGCACTGCCAGAAAGTTCCTAGTCTGTATCATTTCTGACATGTATTGCCGTTGCTTAGTTTCAAAACTAATGAGGGACTTCTCGATATTCGCTACTTCTCCTAGTGTTTATCTAACCGTTTTAAGTTAAAATTCAAGAATTTTTTTGAAACAAAAACAATTTTCTTAATTGTTTTGAAAGATGAATACTTTATCAGTGTACTGATTGCATGTTTTCGTTTTATAAATAAACACTGTAGATTTATAGTCCAGAAAAAGGACGTTGGACGGAATTAGGTGCTTTGGATGTTATGCAAATGCTTGGTCGTGCTGGTCGCCCTCAATATGATACGAAAGGTGAAGGTATACTGATTACAAATCATACAGAGTTACAATACTATTTAAGTTTAATGAATCAACAACTTCCAATTGAAAGTCAGCTGGTCTCACGTTTGGCTGATTTACTTAATGCAGAAATAGTTTTAGGTACTGTAACAACTATTCGTGAAGCCGTAACTTGGTTGGGCTACACTTATCTATACATTCGTATGCTTCGAAACCCCACGTTATATGGTGTACCACAAGGTAGTGAAAAGGATGACCCTTGGCTTGAACAATATCGTCGAGATTTAGTGCATACAGCAGCAATAGAATTAGAACGTTCACAGTTAATTCGTTATGATAGACGTTCAGGATGTTTGCAGTCAACTGAACTTGGTCGAATCGCATCACATTACTACTTAACTCATACAACTGTACTTTCATACAATAAATTGCTTCGTCCGGGTTTGGGTGAAATAGAATTATTCCGTGTGTTTGCTGCCAGTTCTGAATTCAAACATATGACTGTTCGACAGGAAGAACGATTTGAATTAGCCAAACTTCTTGAACGTGTTCCGATTCCAATCAAAGAATCTCCTGAAGAACCTTCAGCTAAAATCAACTGTTTATTACAAGCATATATTTCTGGATTGAAATTAGAAGGATTCTCTTTAATGTCTGACATGGTTTATATTACTCAGTCAGCTGGTCGACTTGTACGAGCAATCTTTGAAATTGTTCTTCATCGAGGTTGGGCTGAATTAGCAGATAATGCACTCACATTGGCTAAAATGATTGAACGTCGTATGTGGGAATCAATGTGTCCTTTGCGTCAGTTTAAAAAGTTACCAGATGAAGTTATTCGTAAATTAGAGAAGAAATCAATACCATTTGATCGTTTATATGATATGAATCATCATGAATTAGGTGAGTTGGTACGGTTACCTAAATTAGGTAGACCTCTACATAAATACCTACATCAATTACCTCGTCTAGAAATGAGTGTACATGTTCAACCAATTACAAGATCAGCTTTACGTGTTGAGCTAACTTTAACACCTGATTTTATTTGGGATGAAAAAGTACACTCAACAAATCAAGCGTTTTGGATATTTGTTGAAGATGTTGATGGAAACAGTGTATTACATCATGAATTCTTTGTATTAAAACAACGTTATGGAACAGAAGAGCATGTTTTACGATTTGTTTTACCAATATTCGATCCATTGCCACCACATTATTATATAACCGCTGTATCTGATCGTTGGATTGGTGGTGAGGTAACTTTACCAGTATCATTTAGACATTTAATATTACCAGAAAAAACAATACCACCTACTGAATTATTGGATCTACAACCACTTCCAGTGACCGCATTAAGAAACAAAGATTTTGAAGCATTATACACAGATCGTGTCAAAGTATTCAATCCTATACAAACACAGGTACGTATTAATTCATATTTAATGCTACTGACTTAAGAATAAAATCAATTTCTTCTCATAAATTAAGCTAACTGTTTCAGACAATGTGTAATTGATTATCAAAACTAATACCAAGGTGAATCATTAAGGGAATAAATAATGCAGTTAAGATTTTACGTGCGATGCGTATATGCAGATGACTTAGGTCTGCATCGTGCTTCTTCCAACAGGAACCAACTGGGTGAATAATGTTGATATTAGACGTAAGGTACTAAGCGGAAATGCCAAATCAGTGAATTCGCATCAGTTGAGGTGGTAAAAACATATGTTGTTTATGCTTGTCTATTGTCTGTCTAGATACTCCATCCTAGATTGCGTAGTTGTTTAAACGAAAGGCGGTGATGGCTAAACCAAAACTCGAATTCACTAACCGTTGCTCTCAACCGTATTGGTAAACGCAGCTTACGCTGTTGGGTCTGAACGATAATTGTAATTTGTATTCAGAGATTTTAGTTAACGTGGCTTTAAACCGATCAGTTACGCAAATGGACCTACTGTTTATATCCACCTCTTGGTTTTGAGTTCCAATATTATTTCATATCTTTTATTTTATGAATACACTCCCTCTCAGACCAAATTGTATGAGCATTCTGTCATCTGATAGCTCTTGTATGATCAAAATATTGTTAGTGTTAAGCACAGCTTTCGATGAATGTGATAAATCGGGATAAGTAGTCGAGTTCACATCTCCTCTAACTCAATTTAACACTCTATGACATTAGTTTTATTCCCAATTTTTTTGAAATTTTAACGTTGATTAATTTCTCAGTATAACATTTTAGTCAGTTTTGAGTACATTTTCCAGTGTAACATCATTTCATGACGATATCTTCCATATCAATTAAGTGTGAATTTCGTTTAAAGTATATTCCTTATCGTATTGTGTATGAACTGTGTATATGTATTACAATAAGTGTGTGTTGCTTTTCATCCATTTAATGTTTATTAACCAATCAAGTGTTGTATGTGTAAAATCCGCATATAAATGAGTATATTCGATTGAATGATGACATGATTTTAGACAAATCCTTTTTAGATATTTCAGTTGACGAAGTTGTCAACCTATACGCATACAACTTTTTATAGTATTTTACCCATATTATAATTTATACACTTTTTTCGATTCACGGTTTTCTTCCCCTCCCTTAGGTTTTCAATTCCCTATATAATTCAGATGAGAATGTCTTAATAGCAGCTCCAACTGGAAGCGGCAAGACAGTTTGTGCTGAATTAGCAATATTTCGTTTAATAACTACACATAATAGTAGTTCAACGAATCCGTCAGATTCTTCAGGTACAACTGCCAATTTTCGGTGTATTTACGTTTTACCACCACATGAAGAACAAGTGGAACAGCGTTATATTGATTGGGCAAGTCGATTTGGTGAGAAGTTGGGTAAACGTGTCGTTCGATTAACTGGAGAAACCTCTGTGGACTTAAAATTATTAGCTCGTGGGAATGTAAGTTTTTGTATTAAACCATATTAAACAACAATTTTACTATTCTAAATGTACTTATAACGTATACTGTGTATACTGACGTCTTGATGATATTTTGATTATTGGTTAACACTGACATGTATTTCCTACTATTTGACATTCATCCGGTGGACTGTCGCCGATGATAATATTCACTGATATCTTAATTATGTTACATTTCATTTCTTCTCTTAATTAAATTTACACTATTTTAAATTAGTTTCGCTGAATTTGTATATGTAGCTTACCTCAATAACGCTTTATCTTTTTCATTTCTATTTAGATCATAGTAACTACACCAGAACACTGGGATGTGCTATCCAGAAGATGGAAACAACGTAAAAATGTACAAAATGTCAATTTATTTATTGCAGACAATTTACATTTAGTTGGTTCTGAAGGCGGCTCAGTGTTAGAAGTGGTGTGTTCAAGAATGCGTTACATCAGTAGTCAAGTGGATAATCCAATTCGTATAATTGGCTTGTCTCATAGTCTTACCAATGGTCGTGATATTGCTAGTTGGCTTGGTTGTACTTCTGGAGCAACTTACAATTTCCCACCTGCTACTAGACCTATTCCTTTAGAATTGACTATTATGCCGTTCAATATTCCACACCAGGCGTCTCGTTTGTTAGCGATGACTAAACCTGTTTATCAACTAATAACACGACTAGCATTTACCCCAAGTCCTGCGGGTAGCTCACAGCATTCCCAGCGTAAACCAACTTTAGTTTATGTGCCTACCAGACGTCAAACACAAAGAGCTGCTCTCGATTTGATAACCATGTTCGCTGTCAGCAATGCAACATCTAAATTTCAAACTATCTCAAGTCACTTGGAAGAAGCTTTGTCTCGTGCCGCTGATCAGTTAGCAGATAGAGCATTAGCTGAAGTTATTCGTCATGGTGGCGGTGTAGCTTATTTACATGAAGCTATCTCAAAACCAGATCGTCGATTAATTGAAGTGTTATTCGCTGCCGGTGCATTACATACCTTGGTTGTATCACGTGCGCTTGTTTGGGCTGCAGCCTCACCAAATCCATTGACAGCTTATCTTGTAATTGTAATGGATACACAAGATTATAATGGAAAGATTCATGCTTATGAAGATTATCCAATAGTTGATTTGATTGAGATGTTAGGACATGCTAATCGTCCGAATATCGATAGTGAAGCTAAAGCTGTTGTATTATGTCAAACTGGAAAGAAAGAATTCTTGAAAAAATTCCTTCATGATCCATTACCAGTGGAATCACATCTAGATCATGCTCTACATGATCATTTCAACGCTGAAATAGTCACCAAAACTATTGAAAATAAACAAGATGCTGTGGACTATTTAACATGGACCTTCCTCTATCAACGTATGACACAAAATCCAAATTACTATAATTTGCAGGTAAATTTAAATTTCTTTTATTAAAAATTTCATTATTCCTAGTCAACTAAGCGGTAATTACTTGATGATATACTTTTTTCAGTTGATTATAAGTCATATGATCTTGGTCCCATCTCACTGTTGTCATGTACTAGTCAATATTTTCGATGCCAAATATCAGAAAAATATGTTTTCTATGTTTCACAATGTGGTGTATAATCGTTAGTTATTCTAAAAGTTGGTATGTATAATATTTGATGATTTTCTTCTGTAGCTTAGCAGCGGCCTAAAGTCGAGTACACAAACCTGTATTTGATTATTAAGTATTATTATTATTATTATCTGTGAATTTCTCCCCTTACCGTTGAATTGCTTTCAAAACACTAGATTGTGAGAAAAAAATCGAAACAACCAACTCGTAGGGAAAATAATTGTTTATTAGGAAGTCAGTACCGATGTAATCAAAAAATGCTCTGTAAGTGGATTAGTACTATTATTTAAAATCCCTAGTCTGTAACTGATAATTTACCAGCCAGTTCAGTTAATTAATCCCAACTTTTGTAATAATATCAGTGTTACGAAACGACAACGTGATTGATAGCAGGTATCTTGTGGTGAACCACTTTTAAGGGGTTATTATTCAATAAATATTGACTTTTTTTTCTTGATTTGACATCCCATTGTAGTGTAGTCAACTTTAAGAAAAGTTTTTGTTTATTCAACTTGCAGATTTTACATACTGTTTTAAAGGAAACGGTGCTATTCATCTGTTAAAACCTTAATAAGTTTATCAGTGTTAGCAGCTTCTCTTTAACAGTTCCATCTGTTCTGTAACGCTTATATTTTAATCGAAGAATGCATTTTCAGCGTCGAATATTTTAACTATATCGTCCAATTGTTATCTGAGCCACTGGGAAACAACTGCATCAAAAATTTCCAGTTTCAAATCATCCTTCGTTTATTTTAATTTAAATAAGAAAATAGAGTGTACAAATCTGTTACATTGAGGCTATTGGAATCAAATCTAATTCTTTAGTACATTACGGTGATTTCCCTGGTTCTGTACTATTTTACGATTGAATTTTGGTATGCTGTATACACCGAGATGTATAAAAATCTATGGATTATCTCCACATATAACAAACAACCTTAAGATAATTTCACTTTATTGTCATACGTTTAATTTCAATACTTTATTATTATTATTCTTATCATTATCATCAGGGTGTGACACATCGACATTTAAGTGATCACCTAAGTGAATTAGTCGAGACCACATTGAATGATCTGGAGACATCCAAATGTATTTCTATAGAAGATGGTATTGATTTGGCTCCATTAAATCTGGGCATGATATCGGCGTATTATTATATTCAGTACAACACAATAGGTAAATTAACTAGTTATATCCCTTTTTTGTTTGCTAATAACCATATTCTGTTTTCTAAATAAAACTAATTCCTGGTAAGTGTATAATTTATGTTAAGTTATTGATCTGAGAAGTATTACCACCAGGTGCAGACCATCTGGTTAATGTCCGTACGGTCATAGAATCAGATGTCAGAGAATTTAAGTGACGGTGCTCAAAGTCAGTTACAGTGATGCCGATGTATCCACCTTTTCTTAGTACTCTTTACATTTTGAGTCTCAATATTGTAATACACTTAGTACTTTACATAGAATTTATAATTAAAACTTTCACAGATTGAAAACATAAGTCAAGTGAAGCTAGACCACCATGAAAAACCTGGAAGCACTGGACGGCCGTTTCGTCCTAGTATGAGACTCCTCAGCAGTGCGCACCCACGATCCCACACCCCGCGAGATTCGAACCCAGGACCTATCATTCTCGCACCAGGTGCTTAACCAACTAGACCACTGAGCCGGCATCCAATGGTGTTAATGTCTAACATTAACCAATCCACGAAGTTGGGCCACCGTACACCATTGTCTTCAGTGAGTTGATATCTCACAACAAATTTGGTTGAACTATACTGGTAACAGCTTCTCACTAGAACTCTAGGAGTATCTCTTGAAGTCAGTCACTAGTGAGTAGATGATTATTATCAGAAGGGGTTCGTGGAGATTTTAGAAATTTCACTGACTGAAATCATGAGTCAATTAAAGCTAGACTACTATGGAAAACCTGGAAGCACTGGACGGCCGTTCCATCGTAGTATGAGACTCCTCATCAGTGCTCATCCACGATCCCACACCCCGCGAGATTCTAAAATCTCCACAAACCCCTTCTGATAATTAAAACTTTAACATCTAAAGTACAAAATGTTAGCTACTTTTTTTTCAAACCATTTTGATGAATTTAAACTTTTAACAATCTATCATGTTGTAAATTTGAAAAGCTTTTAGAACACTATTTATTCAGTTTGACTAGCCACCGTTTTGTAAATTTCCTAAGGTATTCTCTTTTATAAAGCTAAATATTAATAATTTTCAAGATGTTGAAGCAAATTGAATCTCATGCATAAATTATATGTCTCGAATATGTTCCAATGCTTAACCTGATCATGTTCTAAAATACTGTAAAGTACTGAAACGAAATTAAAGGATCAATTTTTGGGTTAAATGGTTAGTGTATTCTTTAAATTTCTAGTGGAAAATCCCTTGTCTTGATCGACTTATTTCTCTATAGTGCCAATGAAATTAGCTGATGATAAAAGTTTAGTATTTCATTATTTTTCATCAGTTGATAAGGTAGAATGTATTTATTATTAAATCACAACTTTGCATAAGATGTGAATTTTTTGGTTACAACATTGTTATTTCCGAACTGATGCTGTTTGTATCGTGTATAGCTTCCAAAGAAGTGTTAGATACTCGTCCTTTTCCATAGGTTAATTCAAAGCATAGTGAATAACTTGTATATGGTTCTTACCACAAAAGTTATGAATACATATTGTACTGAATTATCAAAACAAATAGCACTATTAAACTATACAGCCCTCAGAGAGAGTTATTCAATAAGATTAAACAGTCCAATCTACAATATATTGAGTAGACAAATTGACATAAGATACAAAATTATTACCGGTCAAAAGAATATAGTCGTAGTCCTGTTAATTTGAGAATACTATTCTATCTTTTTTTGGGTATATCAAAATAATCCCTTTCAACAATTCCAATCAGTAAAGACCTACACAATTGGATGGAATGTTAGAAAAAACTAAAATTGTAATTAAAATCAGCAATCAGTCAGTCAGTCAGCTACAACGTAGGACCAGGCACATATGTGCATCGGTCCAGGTTGCCATACCGCATCAGCACAACAAGATGAACACCGGATTCATAGCAGTGGTTAGGTCAAAGGTAGTAATATGTAAGAGAAAGATTGCATATAGAGATATAGTACAAGAAGAAAGAATTGGTTCGTAGAAAGAAAGATATGAAGCGATTTTAATCTCTTAGTTTAAGGGAAGACAGGGAGTGTATACACCGACGCCATTGTGATCGATTCTGAGCCATGTCACCAAGAGTCTCCAACCATTGGTTACGATAGTCACGCGGACCCCAACCAAGTAGTCTGCATCTACCAACATGGCTCAGACTAGAAGTTAGTGACTTCAAGCACTGATGCCACGTTTTGGTTTGGCCGCCCCTAACTTTCTTCCAACCATTTCCAATACCGGATAGCAATCATATACCTATCTAGGACTAAAAAGTCAAACTTCATCACATTACATTTAAGAGTAAGACAAAGAGTTTTTGTCACAAAAACCTATACATGAAAAGTCCTTTTTTTGATGAGACTATAATTTATGGATGACCTTTGAGCAACGCTGAAGTGGCTTTGAGAATGTCCACGTACTAACTAGGACCAAATGAGGGTTATAAAACGGTTTGAAGAATAAGGATTATTATTTATTTATTTAAACACATAAATATAGATACAAGAAGGCATCAACTAGATATGCGCCACATAATTCATTCGATTTGTGTGAGAGCTGGGATACTGCCCGGGTGCCAAAACCGAAGTAGGTGGATTTCCTTAGGAGCCACACCTAAAGCCTTTGACCTAAAAGTCTAAACCACAAGGCAGTGGAATAATGTAAGGAGATGCAGTTTCATGGTTACCGGTGACCAACGATTGGTTCATACGCCATTTATTCCCTTAGGATCCTGTAGCCCACTTGCACTATTGGCTTGTAATCAGGGGTTTCCGACTCCCCTAGGTGGATCCTCCATATCTACGGACCCGGTTAAAGCATTTCGAAAGGGGAAGCGTTCTCGCCCCGCTCTCGATCGTACCAGGGAATTTGAGGCAAGGTTTATGATTAACAGTTGTTGGATAGGGTTAGGAATTAGATGATAAAATCCAAGATCTGTTATCTAATATCTGATTGGTTCGTTCATAATTTGTAGTCTCCTCGTCTAATTATGTAATACTAATGCTATAATGTTATCAATGTACTCACTAGTTAAATATTACACTTTGTGATAATAAATTATTTCTAAACAATCCAAACCTTTTCACAGACAATCTACATATATGCATATATATATACCATTATATCTACTAATGGCATATAATACTGTATTCTCCCAATCTATATTCTTTCTTTATTTTGTATACAGAATTATTCAGTTTATCATTAACAGCTAAAATGAAAATTCGTGGTTTATTAGATGTGATTAGTAATGCAGCTGAATTTGATATATTATTACCTGTACGACATCATGAAGATATTCTATTACGTCAATTAAGTGTAAAAGTACCACAGAAATTAGCACCAAAAGCTAAATTTTCTAGTCCACATGTTAAAGCAAATTTATTATTACAAGCACATTTATCACGTTTACAATTACCAAATGAAATGCAAACAGATACTGATCGTTTATTAAGTTGTACTATACGTTTAATTCAAGTAAGTTTATTGTATATTCTATTAAACAATGAATATTATTCTATCATCTTTTCTAATGATATAGGTAATTTTAACTTTCTTATTGTTATGATTATATGTCCGGCTCTTTATCACGTGATTTATCCACCTAATCAGAGTACGACTTATACAATCTTCGTACTATGCCAACCAATGACATTCAACCCGATATGAGCAGTCTAGCGTCCTTATTTGGTCCTATGTTCTTCTAGCCCGTCCGCTTGAGTCCAGAACACCAATACCAGCTTCTGTAATATGAATTGAATCGAATCGATTCATTTATTTAAGACATATTGGGTTTATATATCAACCAGACAGACCACAACGTACTATAAAATAGAAAATAACATGTGTACACGATAAAGTCAAAAAGTGACTGTGAACGTGGGAGATAGTAATTAATAGACAGGCCATAACTCAAGAATGATAAATCGTACAGTAATAGTCTATGGGTCAAACTAAAGCTTATAATAAGTGGAATATAAATACACATAATGTAATTATTAAATAATTATACAATAAGAATATTTATAGGATATTAGTCCATTAATAGTCCTTGAAAGTTACCCGTAATTTGATCTTCGCTCGGATATAACACTTATCAAATCCAAATGTTTGTTCTGTTAACCTAAGAAAAATATGATAAAACCTGAGGAACAGTTAACATAGACGATGCAGATGTAAAGGTACGGATTGGCAAAGCAAGGTCCTCATTCCTACAACTAAAGAATGTATGGAACTCAAAACAACTATCAACCAACATCAAATTCAAAAGCTCCAATACGAACATCAAAACAGTTCTACTTAACGGAGATGAAACTTGGAGAATTACCACAGCCATCATCAAAACGATAAAAGTATTTATAGACAATTGTCTATGCAAGTTACTCAATGTTCGTTGGCCAGTACCATCAGCAACAGTCTACTGTGGGAGAACAAACCAGCTTCTAGATGAAGAGGAAATTAGGAAAAGACCTTGGAGGCGTATAAGACAAGATATAACCTGAACGTAATACGAAAAGAGGAAGACCCAGGAACGTATGTCGTCGTGAATGGAAGACAGGACTAAGTCATATATATTAAAAACTCCGGTTGATCTGCCTCGGTTATCAAGTGTCGATCAATCATGTGCGACATAGAACCTGATTTACATGCGGGTTGGTTCAAGTTGCCATACCTCATTAGCGCAGCGAGCTAAGATTCCGAAGATAAATCCAGTGGTGGTAGAAAAAATTGAGTGTATAAAAAGAAAAAAAACGCGGAATGCACATCATAAGTACATTGCTCCGACAGAACCTTTTGTTCCAATTATCTTTAATATTTGGCATGTAGCCAACAATGAAATCCAGGACTCGCATTTTACTTCATTTGGGACTGATCAGCTGGATATCTCTGAATCCCACTTTTGTTGTGACTTGAACTCAGCCCCCACCTGTCTCCTCAAAGACCAGGTTGTGACGGGCGTGCTCCAAATTTCACTGTCAACTGCATACTAAGCATGACTTTAGTCAAAATCAAAACTGTCAGTTCCGATGAAGATCAAGGTTATTTTTGAACGACTCGATCTTGATTCTTTTTGTCATAATACTAGGAAATAATTTTGTATAACATTTCATAATAATATAATTGTGCGTAAATACTTTTTTTTCTGTATTTTAGGCTTGCGTAGATGTTTTATCCAGTAATAGTTGGTTAGGTCCTGCTTTAGCAGCTATGGAACTATCACAAATGTGTACACAAGCTATATGGCATAAAGATTCTTATTTACGTCAAATACCACATTTTACAGCTGAACGTATTAATCAATGTAAAGAAAACAAAGTTGAAACTGTATTTGATTTAATTGAATTAGAAGATGAAGAACGTAATCAATTACTAGATGGATTAACGCAAGTTCAAATGGCTGATGTAGCTAGATTTTGTAATCGTTATCCAAATATTGAAATTACTTATGAAATTACCACAAATAATGGAAATAATGCATTAAAAACACCTATACGAACGTAAGTTTTTATGGCTTATCATCAACTGTGATACTTGAAGAGATTACGAGTTCACCTAAATCTGCGAACGAAACAAAGACTCAGCGACACAATAACCAAATAAGCTAAACTATTACGATGCGTCTCAGCCCCACTAACTAGAGAGAGAATTCTAGGTTCAGAAGAGGGAAAATGTATTCCACAAGCAGCCAGAAGCACGAACAACAACAACAAGCACAACTTAAGTGTATATATACAGCATAAAAATGTTCTTAGGAAACGTTACATAATATTAAAGAGATAACGAATCAATGACATTTAGGGCCCTTCCAAGTGGGAAATACCATAATATAGGTGAAAATTGGCGCTTTTGGCGCGAAAACAATAAATTCAAATTTCCAAAATAAAATTACAAAAATCAGACATTTACCAAATGAGTTATGAGAATCTAGCATCTGTAACAAGTTTCCAGTTCTAAATCACTTGACAGTGAATAATCGGCTACGCTACAAAGTTGATTGATTGTAATGTAGCTGAATGACTGACTGAATGTTAACAATTGGGAATATAATTCCATGATCGGCAACAATACTGAACACTTTAGTGTTAATGCATGAATGAGCACACACTGCTGAGAAGAACCTTAACTAGACTTAATAATAGTCACCCAATATGATCTCCAGTTTTCAATGATTCCTAAGTAGTGAAAATTTTATGTTCAAATGATGTTATATCTGCTAAGTTATAGTCAACTGCATAGCATCGTTCACATTGTTTCTCGCAGTATGAAAATAAGAAATAATGTCCCACTGTCTGTAAGTTCGTTTGTTAACTGAGACAGAAGCTTTGACTCAGTAACTGGAATATGAATAGTCAATGATACTGGATTATTACATCATCATGCAATCATATTTCATTCCATTTTTACGTTCTAATTTATTTACTCCTATTTATTGAGTATTTTTTAAATGCAAATACTTTTATCATTCATTTTTTCATGCTAAGTGGTGAAACATTAACTGTACAAGTATCGTTAGAACGTGAAGAAGATAATGTGGGTCCAGTTATAGCACCGTTTTTCTCTCAGGTAAGATTATTCATCTACTTTTTTTTACAGTATATCATTATTTATTAAAATACATCAGTATTGGTACAAGTAAGGGTTCAAACAAATATGCTTCACACAATAAAAAATGGGATTCTCAAGAGATAGAAGGTGAGTATAATCAACATTAGTGAAAGGGAGAATTATAGTTCAGCCGTTCCGTAATCTGTTTTTGCATGGGCGGAGATGATGAAAACATATTATTTCTCTCACCGTTTTCTTCCCACTTATGGAGCTTTCAAATCTAACACTACGTAATGATTGTTAATGAGAATCCAGTTGGTTAGTACTGCCTCAGATCTGGCACTCAGTGAGACATGAACGCCAGAAAAACCAGGCGAACACGCCACAGCGTCCCGGATAAACTCACGTGGAACAAGCCTTTCGAGGTGACGAACGTAGAGCGAATTTGTAGTACTTCGCTAAGGTCTTGAATACGGGTTTCGGATGGACAATAGACATCGATATTAAGGTTTTCTAAAGACAACCGACTATATCTGCTGTCGCGTCTGCATTAGTATGCGAACGTTGAAGGAGGAGGCCAGTTTGAATGGAATAAGTGGTTTCAGAAGGGTTAATTTAGAATCTGTATTTAATGGTAGCACTCAGCTTTCGACCATTCAGTGACTTGAGATCGTTTGAATAGGTCAAGGTTTCCACCATAGGCGATTTGCTTTGTGAGATGAAAAATAGAAATAAACAGAATGTTAATAAAAAGGATGTGTAAATTAAGTCTTTGTGTGACTAAGTACTTGCACCAGTTGTTTATATAGATAGCGAGTACAAATCACTTTGTTACTTTTGTGTCGGCAAAGATGCTGCCCGGGTGCCAAGTTGGTTTTCTCAGATTGGCACTCCTTCAACCTAAAGGTCTAGTCCACAAAGCTGTGGAGTAATGTTATGAGATGTGGTCCCGTGGTAGCTGGTAACTATGACAATACCCGTTCCGTAAGAAGACAGTGAATAGAACTTACCCGTTAGTGATTATATGGGTACCTTCTGAAAGAATTAATGAACTCTCCTCACTCATAGTCTTACAGGGGTTTGTATTGTCGTTTTTTTTAAAATAATCAATATAATGATAAATACAGCTTCAATGAAATTACAACACACTTTAATATGTAGAATTGTTGAAAGTGTGAATAGGTTGATTGTAAAAAAAGTTGTTGCATATTCACCTATTCTAATTTTAATATTAATTGTCATCCCATTTTGTGTTTAATAATGATTTCTTTCTCTTATTGATTGGAAGATAAATGTTTAATATTTGTTATTCAAAATATTACGAATCTCAAACATACTTATTGTTTTGAAATATATATAGTTATGGTGTATATTTTAAAACTTTCGTTTTAAGTATTTAAGATTTAGACATGTGTTATATTTCTCTCTCTCTTACGGTTATAACCCAGTTATTCTTATTGCTTAGTATTCTCGGACACCAATTTACTCGACAAGTCCCCCCAAATCAGAACATGGTTGAATAGGAAAAGAGATTATATTTCAAACAACAAGATTATATGGAAGTAAGAAGCGCAATAGGGAAAACGTTAGTATTAGATGGTGGTTGGAGGTAGTGAACAGGAAACCCTGGACCCGGGTTTCGTGCTACTTGGCACTCGTCAGCAAGGTGTACCTGTAATCTTGAGGGAACTGATGCTCCCTGGCGGATTCGATCTCGTGTCACCCAGCTTCACAGTCAGAGACGTTACCACTGAGCTATCCGAGCCGTGACTAACCTCCTGTAGGACTGAGATGTAATCACAATTGATTGATCACTGGGTGGTGATCAATCTCATGCTTGTCTAGTCCTTATTAGTGCAGATCGAATGCTATCGATCATGTTGCAATGTGGCCACCAGTCTAAGTGACTCGACACTGCGGTCGGTCCCAGCTCGGATAGCTCAGTGGTAACGTCTCTGACTGTGAAGCTGGGTGACACGAGATCGAATCCGCCAGGGAGCACCAGTTCCCTCAAGATTACAGGTACACCTGGCTGACGAGTGCCAAGTAGCACGAAACCCGGGTCCAGGCTTTCCTGTTCACTACCTCCAACCACCATCTAATCTCAATACATAGTGCCCGCAGTGTCGAGTCACCTAGACTGGTGGCCACATTGCAACATGATCGATAGCATTCGATCTGCACTAATAAGGACTAGACAAGCATGAGATTGATCACCACCCAGTGATCAATCAATTGTGAAAACGTTAGTATATTTATAGATTTCTGGAGTATTGACTAACGCTGATTGGCTAATCCTTATCCAATCAGCGTGCGCCAATGCAAGCGTACATTTAGCATGATTTAATGCAATCTATGTGTCCCGCTAACATCATGTTTTTACGTTTCCTAACAACACTCAATAAAACAACCTGTACGTTAGTTTTAATCTTAGTGTTTCTACTTCCAGCTAACTCGAAATCTGAAGACATTAGCAACAGTCTAATTGTTTTTTTTTGATCCTCAAAAATAAAGTTATAAAATGTAAATTTTCTGAAGATATTTTTTTCGTCGGATTTAATACTAGATTAACATCTTCTTAACTATCGATTAAGTATTGATTTAATGATCATAAGCTAGGACTTACCCGGTATCAGAATAACCCTAGTTCCTCGATCGTCGTCTACCCAAGTCTTGTTATACTTTTATCCAAAATCAAATGATAAGTAAATTAATAATAATAATACTGTTACATTTATTTGTATATTGAGTATATCTTACGCGAGAGAGACGTCCATGATCATAGATAATCAACAATTTATAGCATATATATGTCAGTAATAACTTTTTGCTATTGAATGTGATGATGATATTCTTATCTGTAAATCAAATTAATTTAGAGATTTAGCTAGATAAATCTGTGATTTTTAATTTTTTATTTATTTTGTAGCCTCGTGAAGAAGGTTGGTGGTTGGTAGTTGGAGAAGTAAAAACAAATTCATTAGTTGCAATCAAGCGCCTATTTGTTTCACAATCAATGAAAGTTCGCTTAGATTTGAGTGCACCAAACCATTCAGGTCGTCATGAATTCACTTTGTTTTTTATGTCAGATGCGTATATGGGTTGTGATCAAGAGTATAAATTTCAAATTGAAGTACGTGAAGGAGGAGGAGGTGGTGGAGGGACAGGTGGACGAAGCCATAATGACTAACGAAAGCTAACATAACTGTTAATTATTTTGTTCATACATATATAAACCCTTGTACACAACCACTTACCGTTTTCTTTTATACACGTCTTTTGTAGTATTCTGTTTGTTTTCTTGCGCCATTAAGAGTAATTGTATATATAGTAGTTTTATTCTAAATTTATTGCATAAAAATCTCCGCAATAAGTTCGTGAAATTGAGAAACACTTTTTACTATTTTGAGAGAGTAGGGATGACCCTGAAAGTGGTTTGGTCACCTCTGATACCGTCAGTAGTCAGACATCTGAAGAAATGTATCTCATCCCACTCTCAAGAAAATTATTATATCAGTTTAACCTTACTGTAACTTCATCAGTAACCGGTTTTTTTTGGGGGAAATATACTATGACTATAGAACGATTTAAGGAAAGTATCAGAAAAATAAACAAAAGTAATAAGTAAATGTCACGATGAGGTTTATAATTCCTAGTATAATAATAGAACTTATTTACAAAGTAAGAATTTGTTTACTCGCTTATCTAAAACGATATATGCGAAATTCGGACCTTGAACCTAATAGTTGACAGCTGGTTACTTTAACTACATAGTATGTCAGGATCAGATTTCGGACACCACCCGTCACAACAGAACTTTTCATAAATTCCCAGTTTTGAACGTTGTGATATACATGTCTAAGACTATCAACAATCTAATATATATTTGACTACTGTTATAATTTGGAAAAATTAATGGGATAATCATCGATCAACAAACGCTAGAGTTTCGTGGGTAATCCATTAATATTCAATGTTATGTGTGTTCAAAGCAATGGATCATGTAATAACCTACGTAGGTGTAATTTCCGGTTGATTTACTACAAATAAACAACTAAATGATGAGTACGCTTTAAAGATTGATTGATATTTTATGCAGTAGCCCTAAACATGTACTTAATACATATCTTGCCGGTGAATAACATAATGTTTCTGAATATCATAGTTTTCGGACAATTATCACGAAAAGTCTTTAACAGAGTTTTGCTGAACCGGATGAAAGATGCAGTAGACGCCCAACTTCGAGATCAACAAGCTGGATTCCGTAAGGATCGGTCGTGTACAGACCAAATTGCGACACTACGGATCATCGTCTAACAATCAGTTGAGTGGAACTCATCACTATACATCAACTTCATTGATTATGAAAAGGCATTTGACAGTGTGGGTAGGAGGACGTTATGGAAACTTCTTCGACACTACGGAGTTCCTGAGAAGATTGTCAATATTATCCGGAACTCATACGACGGACTACAGTGCAAGGTTGTGCATGGAGGACAGCTGACAGATGCATTCTAAGTAAGGACCGGAGTCAGACGAGGCTGTCTACTCTCTCCCTTCCTCTTCTGGTGGTCGACTGGATTATGGAGACTTCGACATCTCCGGGAAAAAACGGCATACAATGGACAGCTCAGAAACAATTAGACGATTTGGACTTCGCAGATGACCTAGCCCTCCTATCACGTACACACGAACAGATGCAGATGAAGACAGCCAGTGTAGCAGCAGTCTCTGCATCAGTAGGCCTCAGCATACACAAAGGGAAAACTAAGGTCCTCAAATTCAAAGCGGAGAACAGCAATCCAATCACTCTTGATGGCGAAACTCTGGAAGATGTAGAGTTCACATACCTGGGAAGCATCATCGATGAACAAGGAGGTTCAGATGCAGAAGTAAAGGCGAGGATCGGCAAAGCAAGAGTCGAATTCCTACAATTGAAGAACATATGGAACTCAAAACAACTTTCAACCAATATCAAAGTGAGAATCTTCAATACGAACGTCAAGGCAGTTCTACTGTATGGAGCTGAAACTTGGAGAACTACAACAACCACAATCAAAAAAGTACAAGTATTTATAAATAACTGTCTACGCAAGATACTCAACATCCATTCGCCGGATACCATCAGCAACCGCTTTCTGTGGGAGAGAACAAACCAGCTTCCAGCTGAAGAGAAAATTAGGAAAAGACGATGGAAATGGATAGGACATACACTACGCAAATCGTCAAACTGCATCACGAAACAAGCCCTAACTTGGGAGGGAAGCGGAAAAGAGGAAGGCCAAAGAACACATTACGTCGGGAAATTAAAGCAGATATGGAAAGGATGAATAACAACTGGGAAGAGCTGGAAAGGATTGTCCAGGACAGGGTTGGATGGCGAATGCTGGTGAGCGGCCTATGTTCCTTCACAGTGAGTAACAGGCGTAAGTAAGTAGCCGTCGTAGTTGGATTGTACCTGTTATCTAACGATGAATAAATGAGTGGTAACTGCCTACGAATTAGTTATGGACTATTGGATAAGTAATTATATTGTATGTATATTCATATTCCTTTTATTATAATCTTCCATTGACTACTATTGTACGAATTTATTAGTCACAGTCTCTCACACTTACAACCACTTTTGACTTGATCTTGTATAATTGTTATTCTGTATTTTATGGTATGATTTGTTCGTATATAAACTGCGTATATCTGAAATGCATGATTCACACGGTGCAAACTGAGACTGTGTTCTGAACTAAACGGGCAAGAAGAACCAATAAAGACTGAGAGTTGACTCGAAGCTGCTCGTACTGGTTAACGCGTCATTGGTTCGGCAGTGCCAAATTCGTATAAGTCGGTGTCCTAGTTGGTGATCTTGTCACGTGATATTTGATGGGGCTTAGGACATAAAAGTACCCAGTTACAGTTAAAATACACTTGTTGACCCTGACTTCATTTGATAATGTCTTCTAGATGAATTATCAGGGTTGGACTGTTCGGTGTGTTATGCATTGTCAAACAGAAAAATTTTATGCAAGCGCGTTACATAGATTTATTGTGAATTTATTAGTTGACAAATCGGACTTAAATCCTTAACCTAGTCATTCCTAGTATACTAACTTAGTAAGATTACAGATTGAGAAAAGTGATGAATAACTCTATGTGCACTCACGGTTCCTGTCTGAATGCCGGTCACGTGACTCACCTATCCAGACCTGAGTAAGTCGTCTAAAAGTCGAATCCGTTACCGGTTAGTTAGTTGTAAGTTAACTATTTTAGCACCATTAAACCATCGTTCCCAATTAGATGTGAGTAAATATCGAATGAATTCTTTATGACAAACTAACTTTGTAAAGAGAATAAATGACTTTGGATTTATCATCATCAGACTGCTTTAAATAATTTTGAAGAAGTTTATTACCGGATTTAAAAGGAAATGCCTCAATGAAATAGACGATGATGTTAACGATCAGAATGACAATCTAAGCTTTACGGTAGCATTTTCTACACATCCACTTGTCTGTTTACGGTCATCTTTAAAAGTAACCAGAACTGGCTTTAATTACATATGCATACAAAACTATTCCGGAAATCCCTACTTAAATACGAAACGGAAGTCCTTATTTACTGTTCCAATTCAGTTGTTCGAAATATTAATATAAATACAGCTTAGTGGACTTGGCGATTATTGCAACTGAATAGTGAATTAAATCTAGCTTTGATTCCAGTGAAGAGCGCAATGCCTCTACTTACAGGAAACAATAGGTATGGTGAATACAATTGTTTTTTTACGGCGAAAAATACTTTCTTAATACACAACGCTGACTTCCGATTAGACTCTTTCAGTTTCTTATCTCGTATCTTATTATCCCTCAAAATAGAAGTAACGAACGTACCTAACCATTTGCAAGAAGCATACTGTTTGAAACCAGTCATCTCCAAAAATACTAGTCATAGAGGATTGTCCCACTGCTCTAACGCCTTAAGTCAGACTCACTTGGCGAATGAACCGAAAAGACGTCGACTGCTAAGACAACAAATGTCACTCAGTCGAATTTCCTCCAGGAATGAAGATAAAAACAATATGAAATAACCCCTCAACTTTCTTCAAGCCAGCCGGACTTCAATCAAGTAGTAAGTTCACTAAGCTGACCTTTACGCTCCAGATGATGCATAAAAATCATCGCACATATATCAGGTTAACAGACCTCGTACTTCTTGAGATCAGGCATTCCTTTTAATCATTTGGCAGAATTGTAGCCATAAAAGTGGACTGAAGAAAGCTGGATCTGAAAGACAACAGTGACGCATATAAGGATTCACTTTCACTGTTCCAAGCCAGCTGTACGGTCTATTAGGGTTGCATCTTCCCCTTCAAGTTACATAAATAGCATAGGTGCCCGCTTGTACACCCATCAGTTTTGGTAGGCTGTTAGAAACTGCAAGTACGCTAGGAAAAAGTTACCATCAACATTCGTGCAGAGCCCCTCTGACTTCTAGACTACGTTACGGAGTAAAGACAGTAGTTTTATGGGTTTCTATTTAATTTTTAATTGTAAACATGAAATTTTATTGGACATGGACTAAAATGAAAAAGAATTGAAGCCCTAATCCAGTTGTGATCCGTGAAATTTAATCAATTCAATTGTGTTTGGATTTCGCACATTACTCTTAGTTATATTTTCATTTTCACGCTCCCAAATACCCTGGCATGGCCGTATTATTTATTTTATTTGAACACATAAATATTGGTACAAGAGGGCACCAAATATATATGCGTGATGTTAGTCTGGCTGTAAAAGGTCGGATCTACAAAGCGTCGGTGAGAGCAGTTTTGCTCTATGCTTGTGAGACTTGGCCTCTCCGAGCTGAGGATGTTAGACGACTCTGTGTTCGGTCATCGTTGTCTCCGAAGGATTGCTGACATCCAGTGACAACATCATGTTAGTAATGCAGAGGTTCGGCATCGTGTGTTCGGGCACAGAGATGATAATTCAATTGGTGTCACCATCTTGAAACACCGACTTCGGTGGCTTGGACATGTTCTACGAATGTCGTCCCACAGAATTTCACGTCGTGCATTTTTTGCCGACGCTGGGACTGGTTGGAAAAAGCGGAGGTGGTCAGTATATGACATGGTGTCGTGGTATGAAAGAAGGCTACAAAGGGCTGGCTTCTGTTGGTCCTTCACGACTCCCTGACTGGGGTCCGACAGATGGTGCTACACAGTGGCTAGAGATGTTATCAGATATGGCTCAGAATAGAAGCCAGTGGCGATCCTGCTGTGACCTTTTACTTTCTTCATAAAAAATGGTTGTTTCTTCCTTAACTGATTGTAACTTTCCGTTTCCCCCACTATTATTTTTATTACTATTATGCTAATCTGTTCGTTATTGTTCTTTTTCTTTGCGCTCCTTACCTTCTTTTTTTCTCTCCGAATTCTCATTGTTTTTTGTGGCGCATATATATTTGGTGTCCTGTTGTACCAATATTTATCTATTCAAATAAAATAAATTTATTTTTACACCGAAATTTAAGAGTGTTTGGTGGTCCGTCGATATGTCACATTGCGTTTAAGTAAACTGATACCAAGTAGTTTGTTAGCAGTCGATTGATAATCTTTATTCAATCAAAAGATGTGAACACCCTGCAAGGGATTGTTATATTATACTGCGTCCCCTTTCCCTTTATGGTTTACTGCTTATAAGGATACATTAAATTGATGTAAATAAACAGGATTAGAATATTTAATGAAGCAAGAAGGTTGTATGCATTCGCCGTCAAACATAAAATACAAAAAAGATACTTCTATTTAGGAAAAGTAAAAGCAAAGTCGCAGGAAAAAACGCTTAGAATCGGTAGGAGTAACTGCACTGACCTCGAATGCCGTATCAAGCGGAAACCAGTATTTTATCCTCACATACGACACTCTATATCGGTATTAGCACCTAGACCTTGATCTAGTTATTTCGTCAGACTGGAGTGAAACAACCATCGCGGTCTGCATTACTGATGTCACTAGAATTGCATATTATATTAATTATAATTACATCCACCCAGTCTTTATTCAATGGTTTGGCGACCAAAATCTTTTCCGAGGAATAAGGAGGTTTAATGGCCTTGATGACATAGTTATACTAGACAGTTCTACATGGCAAATTTCATCATATATTCCACTTAAATTTATCAGTTATGGTTATATTTATTTAAACAAATAAATGTTGGTGCAAAGGAGCACCGAATACATATGCGCCATACAAGTTACTTGATTTGTGTGTAGGCTGTGATACTGTTCGGGTGCCTAGACCGAAGCAGGGTTATATGCCAACTAAGGCTACATATTTATTTCCGTTCTTAAACTTAATGATTTAGTCTCTTACATTTTCATATACTGCAGTGAGGTGATCTGGTACATGACTGCAATATACCGTGATAGTATTAAATAAAAAGAACTTATTCTACAGACCACAACACTATTTCTCCATAAATACATTTAAATAAGGATCTAGTTTCCAATACTCTAAAAGAATGTGGACTCAAGTGAACACGATCGTAATCGAAAAGAATAGTAAGATACATTAACACCACATCAAAATTAATCCGTATTATACGATTTCCCTTTTAATAGGTTCATAAAAAAAATGAAGACTATGAATTAAAAATATTGACAACTTGATCTAACGTCAAGCATTTGAAAATATACGTAATTTTGTATCTTAATCTATATTCAAGAAATTACTGTACCTATGCCAAAATATTCTTACATTTTGTAACCTTAAACAACGAAGAAGCTTACTGTCTATGTTATAATACATTAAAGATTAGAAATATTATATAATAAATAAATATATCCAATCAGTTTCCCACTTTGTCACTGTGAAAAAATATCATACTAAGTAGATGATACATGAATATTTTGAAAGTCCCTTTGCTAATTAAACAAAACCTCGACCTGGATTTCTAAAAAATGACTGTTACACAATATCCTTAGTATATTTGTGCTAAAGTTGGAAAGACAATTTACTTTATCGCATATATGTATGTACTTACAAAATCCTCACTAGTTATCCCATTACATTGTTTATTTAAACACAACATTCATACAAAGAGGCATCAAATACATATGCGCCACATAAATCATTCGATTTGTGTGAGGGCTGAGATACTGCCCGGGTACCCAAACCGAAGCAAGTGGGTTTCTTAGGGGGTCGTATCCCGAACCTTTGACCTAAATGTCTAAACTACATGGCAGCAGGGAAATGTAAGTAGATGCAGTTTCATGGTTACCGGTGACCAACGATCGGTTCATGCGCCATTTATTCCCTCAGGATCCTGGAGCCCATCTCCACCACTGGTTTGTAATCAGGGATTCCCAACTCCCCTAGGTGGACTCTCCATGTCCACCAACCTGGTTAAAGCGTCGGACATTCGCTTTTCATCCTCCGAATTTCGTAAACACCCCTGCCACGAGGATGCAGTGAGTAGAACTTCCCTATCAGTGGTTGCATGCGCGTGGCCATGTGAGAGCATTAGGAGATGGAGAGGTGACTCTCTCCACTCTCAGCCATACCAGGGCAATTGGAGGCCTTCATTACATTACTGGTAAGCACTGTCTACAAAACGTTATCGATAGTTAGTATAAAACATAAACTTTCACAATTGAAGGTAAACCGATCAAACATACTATTTATTATTCTATTAGTCAATAATGATCCGCTTGATAATTTCAATAACATCTAATTCGAAATCACCTATACCTAATGAAATCAGATAAATATTTTCTAGACATTTAGTCTTTAATGAGTAATAACTAAACTAAATGAAACATAATTTTACGTAAGATTCCCTATATCGAAAAGAAATTAGTTGCTATAGAAATGATGAGCAATAAACATTATGGGGATAAATAAACAACCCAATTTAGAAAAAATTAACATGAAAATTCAGTAAGCTGATTTACTTTGTGAAATCGTATATATATATATATATATATATATATATATATATATATATATATATATATATATAATTTGAGACCAGAAAATAAGTGAGCATTTAAAGGAAAGAGAAAAAAACAAACAAACTACAAAGACGGATTATTTCATTCATGATCTCAAATCAAACTGTAATACGAATAGAATGATAACTGTATATAGGATAAAGGATAATTTCTTTTTTTAAACTTTAAAAATAATATTTATACAAGAAATGAGCACAGTTTGTTTTCTTTAAAAGATAAGGGTGACAATTATGTCTAAATAGGAAAATCCCATAATAATAATAATAAAAAGAAGACGAAGCTGAGATTACTTCTTCAATCCCATATAAAGATGACTGGGTATAGAAACAGTAAATACACATTGTTGAACAGACAATTCAGATCATAAATGTATTACTCTTATGTGTGAATGAACAACAGATATTTAAAAGAAAATGAAGAAATAACAAAGCTGGAGCATGTGTACAAAAAATTCAATGAAAAATAGAAACACATGCAACCATATGTATATGCACAAAAAAAAAAATTGGATAGAAGTTAAAATTGAATTTCTTAATACACAATTACTACATTATAGAAATACCTGAATACATGAGTTTATTGAGATGATCTGTGCGATACATGACTTGCAACTTCATAGAAAGTGACAATAACAACAGTAACTGTAACACATCAGTGATTCTTATTTATTATACACAATTCCAAATTTTGACTGCTGCAAACTGGGTGTGAACTACTAGTAAACGATTTGTAAAATCAAAAGTGATATTCGGTTAATAGGAGTCTAGTAAATGTAATGAAGGATGGCAATAACAAACCCAAGGGTGGGACAATATCATAAAATAGGCACCAGAACATTTTCATAGATTAAGTGTAGATCTATCACAATTAAGGAGAGATATTGAGAAGAAAAAAACAAGAATAAACAAAAAATGATACACTTTGTGTTTTGAAAGATTGGAGATAAAAAAAGCATTACCTTCTTGTTAATATCACGATTATGGCTATTGTATCATTATTGCAGACATGAACCGAAATCTAAGTGCAGCTGGTTCACAATGGATTGATCCAATTCTTCCTCATCTTCTGAAAAGGTCGGAACATGGAAAACACCAAGACCTGAAACATCTAATTGGGGAAGAGGAGCCCACAATGCCATATTGTCCAATTCAGGCAGTTCCAGGCTTTTATCACCAATTAGAAGGCATGAGTTATTAGATGTAGATGAAAATGCGTCTGAAGTTCTCACTAATCCCTCACCAGAGTAGAGGTTCGTGACTGAATGGGGAGATGGACTTAATTGTGATGATATATAGGGATCTGGTGGTAATTCAGATGGCAATAGTATGGTGTGTTTGTCCATTAATTCACGAGAAGTTTGATTACTAGTACCTGTAGTCGGAATTTCTAGGGAAGATGAAAGAGTTGTCATAGATGACCACTGGCTATCAGTACTAGGTGGCGCCGAAATCTGACCAGACAATGATGAATGAGATTTATTTTGTGGAGACATACACGACAACTGAGAATCCAAATTTTCATTGGGAATATAGGTCCCATTCACAATTTGCTTCGCAAGGCGCACAGCTTCTGCGTATCCTTTTACCCGGGTACGTGGATTATAAAGTTTGTCAAAAGACTCTTTAAAAGGGTACAACTTAGCACAGCTTAAATAAGAACACTGATCCCAAGCAAGCCAGTCAACGCGAGCAGTATATCCAGCCGCCAAACTTGGATCTGAAGGAGTCGCAAGAACAGCCAAAGATGACGCATTGCCGTCCAATGACTGTGAAGTTGGAAGTAGAGTGGCTTGAGAAAGCTGATGGGCAGTGCGAGCCCAGATAGCGTTAACCTGGGATGGCCAATACGGATAGCCAGCAAGTTTAGCCCATACTATATCACCAACACGTAATCCCCCTGAGACCAGACTAAATGTAGGGGAAGTAGAATTACTGGTAACTGCCCTGGCCCTTCTGGTAAAGTCTCCTCCTGGAGCATCTGCATCACACCACGACTCTACAATACGAAATGTTGCAGGAGCCGTTTTACTTTTAGCTCGTTTACCTTTCCCAATATTGAAATCTATAGCTGAGTCCCGACGAAGTCGAATTTTCAGTCCGCCAGAAACGAAAGACGATGAAGTTAAACCTTTGGAATACATAGGTGCTTGTATAGGAGATTCTTGGCTTATCTGTTCCGTCATAGTCAAACTGGGTGATAAAGACAGGTGGTTATCTGTTGACAAATTAGGAGTTTGGGTTGGATAAAACGAAGTCAACGATGATTCACTTACAGAATTTCGTTTAGACTTTCGATTGTTGCGAGAACGAGGTTGTCGATGCCTGTGAGAATAAGACTGTTTATTATTTGATGATTGAACTTTACTGGTATCAGGTACAGATGAATTAGTATTACTGCTAGATTCAAATTTCTTTAGGGAATATTTTCCGGTAGTTCGTTTTTTGGTAGTTAGCTTGACACTGGATTTAGATTTTTTAATCACAGAGTTTATTTCACAAGTGAGCAGTGCACTTTTTTCATTTTTTCCTTCAATGAAAGTAGGGCTCTCAAATGTGCTAGTGACTTCAGCCATATTTAAACCGATAACTGGAGAGGTATGACTACATAAACTATTGCTTGTGTTGGTACAAGACGATAGAGCTGTTGAAAGGCCCTGGATACTACCAGATGTTGATGGGGAACCCATGGTGTACGTCATATTATTTGGTGATGGACATCTCAAATTACCAGAAGGAACAGAAGTGCAACCATTCTGAGTGGTGCAACAATCACTTCCAAAATCTAGAGTTGTCGCTGGAGTTGGACTGTTTGACTTATTATTCGTTAGGGCTTGGTCTTTGGCCATCCACATATGTTTAGGTTTTTGATAACCACGTGCACGGGGACCATAAAGATCTTCTCCTTCTTGAAACTCGTAAACATTTACACCAAAACAATCTCCTGAATCAGACTCCAACGTATTTGACTGCACAAATTCAGATAAATTTTCATTGGACAGTTGTAGCGGTTTCATGAAAAATTTAACGCCTGAAAAATAAATAATTAACAACTCAACTAATAAACACTTTTAAATACACGCAAAATCAAAACACTTATGGTGAACAAAAACCATAATGGTCAAGAAACACCACCTACCTAAGACTGAGTAGAACAGGGTTAAACGAAAGAGAGTACTAATCAATTCAAGAAGAGTACCAAAAAATGAAAAAATATAAGAGGCACAATAAAGCTACACAGATGTTACCTATAAATAAGTCAAAAAATACCACCTAGCAAGTGTTAGCCAGACAACTATGAAAACTCCTGTATTCCCACACGGTCAACTAATCGCCCGATCTGATCATTAAAATCTTCATGTAACGGAATGTAAGCAGTCACAAACGTGTTCAGATTGAAGTTAATAAGCCTCGAATCACAGTGTCAATCAAAAGCCAGAAAAATAGTCCGAAATTATATCAACAGTAGTTGGCCTCTGTAGATAACTGAAAATTTCAAGGGCTAGAAAACTTCGAATAATTTCCATTGAGTGCGTTTATAAGGACAATAAGAAAAAGGAATTTACTGTCAATGTAGCATAAATGGAACTCTAAGTGATTTTTTAATTAAGCGCGACTCAGTTGTTAACAAAACATTTGTTTGCAGTGACATGACTTAATCACTTGAGGTATAAGTAAACATTAATTATGCTATTTCAGTACCACTTTATTGTTGTGCTGAAACTAGCTTTACTCATTTTTATATGCACAACGGGTGCTAAGATGCAAAACAGGTAAACTAAACACCACTGTTAGAAAACAGTAGACTATAGTATGAGAAAATCCAAGAACAGCACCTACTGAGAAATCAGTCAAATATGTTAAGATAATTGCCACTGTAGATAGCTTACCTGTTCGTTTACAAAATAAAGGGAAACTTGACTGTTGCATTTATTCACTTGCTTCACTTTCATTCCAGTAACGTAAAACATACTGTGTGGAGTACAACTCTCGACCACTGAAATCCGACTGCATTATTAACACATATAAATGCGAACAACAAACTCAAGCGGATTTAGGTCTAAGTATAGAATAACGGTGCAGCCTGGCAGCTTTTTCTGTTTTCATGCATACTTCAAGTTTAATTTACAGTGAAGGCTAGTATAGACCAAACTAAGTGTAAGCTCGTTGCGCAATTGTTCTGAGCTTAATTGCCGAGTTCTAGCCTTAAGTTTAAACGAAGATAATGGTTAGTTATTCGTGTAGACTTCCAAACTTTATATTACAGTACCTAGCCTGATGTTTTCGTGACTTCCGGGTTTCCTGATCTGCCAAGAACGATGGGATAGTTCATGACGGTGTTATTGTGTGCTAGGTTCAAAGAGAATTATATGTTGTATGCATGCAAATCCGCCCTGTTATTGTTTCTATTTGCCTCAAATGCCGAGAGTGGGGAATCAGCATACGGGATAACTGAGCTTTAATACATTGATTTTAGATAGTCCGAGGGTGACTAAAAGTAAATTGTCAAGAATTTAAGTCTGTAAAGTCTGGGGATTACATTGTACCGTGATAAATTGGTTTCGTAGTAGTTAACGCGGAATCCTTTGACACGTTAGACAACCAAGTATAACTAAGACTAAAACTCAAATTACCACTCTCCGTCACCAAAACGACCCAGGATTTTGGTCACACAACACTTCAGTTGCTGTCTGATCGCTATTATGGTGTATGCAAATCTTAAGAACACTTATCTAGGTAAGTCACTATTACTTCAAAACACATCTAGGACGAGAATGAAAACCTCGTCTGAATCACCCAGCACAAAAAAATACAGCTAAGATGTAAAGGAAACGATAACAATAATATAAGAACTACGTACATTTGCACTCATTTCGCGAGCCCCTGAATTCTCTAGTACGCCTGAAAGTGGGGAGAGTCAGCTCTCCCTATCCAAATGCTCTCACATGGTCACGTGTATACAGCCATTGACAGGGAAGTCCCGCTCACTGTCTCCTCGTGGCCCCCTAAGGAAACCACCTGCCTTGGTTTGGGCGCCCGGGTAGTATCCGAGCCCTCGAACAAAACATTTATGGCGCATATATTTGATGCCTCCTTGCACAAACGTTTGTATTTAAATAAATAAATCTCAATACGCTTTTAAAATTGAAGCAACCGAAACTCGTCAATGCAAATATATACGTGCCTGGCTACTTACTTTCGAACGTCTACCTTCAGAGACATTCTAAGCAAACCTTAATTTTTTTAATCAACATCCACTTTTCACCGAAACTGTAGACTGAAAGGTTGGATTAATAATGCTGGACGGATGATTTCAACCAGCGAAAGTTTGTAAAGCCACATGTTACGCAGCCTAAGTCGCCATATACTTCAACATGCGACTGTTGTCTGACTAGAGTGCATAAAACTGTGGATTTGCTGACTTTTCCTTCTACATGGTTTTAAGCTATTAATTATTAAACAACTGATACACTACTATTAAAGGTTATTCGGTGTTTTGCTTGAAGCATTAATGAAAGCCAGGGCAACTTACTCATAGCGAATAAATAACTTCCAAAACTACGCTCAATACCCCTAGTCTGAGGCATTCAAAAGGCGTGTTCATACTTATGAATAAGTCATTGAGACACCATATCTGCAGTCGATAACTTTGTTTATTTCGCCCCGAAAATTAAGTCAGCGGTGGAATTCTATGAGTCCACTGAAAAGTGACATCGTACACAACCACCACTATCTTATACAACGAACATTCAAAAAGAATATCAACTTCTACTTCAGTGAAAAGTACTAATGGCCTGCCAAAAACATCATTCCTTAGTCATCAAACAACGTGCAAGACCTTTTAAGACAAAATAATTGGTCTCATTTTTACAACACGACCACTAAAATATCGACAAAGCCTAGCAATGGGTCGTCATTTAAATAAGCGTTGAGAAACAGTAGAGTGAATAAACGTGTGGAGATAGGCCCGACCATAAGTATTTACACAAATATGTGTTGTGTTTGAAAGACAATGACGAAAAAATTAGTAAAAATAAAAGTAAAAGACTTTAAACACATTACCTTACTGTTGGGTGACTGCCAATGAAGTAATAAAGCAATCACTTCCGTAGCAAAAATTACATGAGCCAAAAATTTACTGTGGTGAATGGTGAAAACCTATATGTTTCTCTGATCTGTAATCGTTACAGAAAGCCCGATATTTTGAAACTCCGAAAATAGAAATACATTAAATGCGCCTACGTACGCCGCCTACTCAGACAAACAAAGTACTAAGATTTCTAATGACTTCAGAAATACACGAAGTGCTGACTCCATAAAAGTGTGAAGTGATAATCGGTGGATATTCAGCCAGGGTTTAAAGTCAAACAGTTATGATCAAATGAGATAGAAGCACAAAATGCAATTTATGTGCAAGCTACTTGAGAGCTATCATGATAACCGTCACGGAAAATGACGCAGTGTTTAACAGTACAAAAAACTTCTAGTGTAACTTACTTTAAAAACAAATAACCAATATACTGGTAGACAGATATTTAATATTCGATGCCGGTAATGGTTGTTTGAATAGACCGGATAGAATACTAGCACATGATTCGGTATTTACGAATAGCAGCAGATAAATCCCCAAGATAAACAATTCTGTAGTTCTGTGATATTGATGCTGACATCATTATTCTTTCTGGACACATCATAGCTGGAGGTGTCCGGTCAAGCAACTGCACTAGTTCACCATTGGTTGCTCCGTGCTACGCATCCCTCGCAACAACTAGCCAGCTTAGATCGAGCGAATTTCGGGACATCAACCATTTTTCAAATACATCTTCGAATCACTTCAATCTCGACTTCTGGTTTGATTGGGATTTGAGTCTTTGATAATCAAGGTGTTAATGGCAAAGATGTTGTCCAACCTTGAACATCCAGGACATACTTAGACATGGTTGTCACTTAGTTTCGCACACTTATTGCCTTAGACACATTGTAGATCATAATCCACCTACCTATATGTCACGTAGCTCAGTCTTACGTGCAAAGTGGAAAACTCAAGCATTCCCTAAATACAACGGTGATACTTTGAAATCATAAACACTTTTCACTGAATTTCTGAATTGCCCATTCGATTAAGAGAAAAATGAACAGCAACGTCTTTGAAATGCAGCGAAAGAGTAGACGTGATTTAAAGCCAGCCTCTGTAGATCCATAACGCAGTAGATCTAAACTAACCAACCTTTTTATACGATGTAAGTTCAAGAGGAGTCCAACCATTAACGGGGAATTTCTGGGTTATTTATTGGATTTGTGTGGTACTTTAAATGATTCAGTACAGGTAAAAAAAGGATTTAAACCAAATACATAAGGTTCCAAGAATAGACAGCCTAAAGCAGAATTTTAAGAACGGATAAACCGTATAGCTGGAACTCCTTGTCAGCCTCCGCTCTGTAAAATTTCCAGTTTGAAGATGGAACTAGGCTAGTGGGAGCCTACCAGTCAGAGGCCAACAGGGTGAAGATAGCAGAGAATAGTTTATGATATAAAATGCCATAAAAAGTAGAGACAAGAAAGTAAGATAAATTTGTGGTAAATTTCGGTGGTATAACAGGTAGACGAAGATTATCAGAATTATGGGGTATCGCAACACATTTAGAAAAATCAGTTCACATATATTCCTGTTAATGACGTTTATACATAAAACATAAAGTCAACTAGATAAATGAAGAGTAGGAGAAAACAACGACAATAAAGAAAATAATATGAAAAAGGTGTCAAATTTACCCCGCTGGATAATCAATTAACTTTACCAGGGTAGGTTTAGTGTGAGAAAACTGTTTTGGGATGCATGAAGGGAGTTTGAATTTTCGTATGGTCTGAGCTTCAACAAATTTTAGCATACGCCTTCTAATACTTTTGTACGACACCACAAAAGCCGTATAAAGACCAGTTGTATGTTTGGCACTAGATGATGGATGTTTGTCATCCACTCTTATAGGGTTTTAGTTCTAAATGCTTTTCAGCCACA